AGCAGGCGTACGGCGTGATGACGATCACCTCCCTGGCCAGCACCTTCCCCGCAACCCCGTCTGGCGACCTGTATGTATGTCTGGCCATGAGTCGAAACAGCAGGTGTGGCACTCCGGCGGGGCTGTGCTACGGAAACAGCTGCGTGTACTCGCTGCTCAATGCGGACAACAGCTGCTGCCCCGCCAGCCAGGTGCCGTACTAATAGGTGAAAGGCCTCTGTAGTTATTGTCATTAAATGATAGCGCAGTTGCGGCTGTGGTGTTGTGGTGGGTAAAAACATACATAGAGTTCGCTCACCGATTGGGTTGTTATCATGAGTTAAATGCACTAGATAGGTTGATGGATTATTGCTTTGGTTGCTTGTTGGCTTTCCACTTGGAAGCGGCATGTGCGGTGTGTTGGAGTATCAACGTATGCGGATTGCAATAATGTCGATGATAATGCTACGCTCGGCTCGTACATGCATGTGCGAACTACTGGTGCAGGGATATGTGTTTCGGGTTCTGTGCATAGCTTTGCTTGTGGTTGCCGTAAACGCCGTGAAGTTGTGCTTTATATGTGTTACCTTTGTTTCAGGTTCGAATGGCACCGTCATGCTTACCTGTACTGAGATTTTATGGTATTATACATACCCCAAAGTCCATTGCTTTGACGCTCCGCTGATGACTTTGTACGCAATATCATTTCGGCCTCGTGTGCGATGTGTTTGATTTGGCAGCAAGCAAGTGGCGTTTTAATGCAGGAACCCGCCCTGACTCTTCGACTTGCTTGCTCCACGGATTGAAGCTGCCGTTACGGCGCCTTGCGTACGTCCAGTCAACTGAACAAAGCTTAGCAGATACCACAATACTCGCTCCGTCCTACCTCACGGTGTCATCCTCAGCACGTGTTATCCTCGCTTTTCCACTAGTTCCAACAAATTCTTGACATCTCGTGTAAATACCACTGTTGCTTTTAAAAGGCCTGCAACAAGGCTCGGACAGCACCAAGCAACCAGAGGCACTGCCCCACCTGCCCATTAGCACTAAACACGGACAAACACGGACACTAACTAGTTCTGGGCGACTGCCTAGAGACAGTAGAGACGAGCGTGTGATCGAGATCTATGTACCGGGTGGGCCAGTTTTGTTTGCTCGCTGCCCATCATTAATAATAACAGCGCATTCCCAGCATCACGAGAGGCCTTTCTGGCGGCCAGCTACCACTACTACCACTACTACCACTACTACCACTACTACCACTACTACCACTACTACCACTACTACCACTACTACCACTACTACCACTACTACCACTACTACCACTACTACCACTACTACCACTACTACCACTACTACCACTACGACCACTACGACCACTACGACCACTACGACCACTACGACCACTACGACCACTACGACCACTACGACCACTACGACCACTACGACCACTACGACCACTACGACCACTACGACCACTACGACCACTACGACCACTACGACCACTACGACCACTACGACCACTACTACCACTACTACCACTACTACCACTACTTTCGTTGGATGGAGTGGCGTTCAGGTTTGTGCATGCGTGTGGAGACCAGAAAACAATGGAGGAGGAGTGCGGCCATCAGGATTCCGATGGTGAACCCTCAGTGCTTCCTTTGGGCTTGCCATGCATTAGCGGTCACGCATAAAAGCCGTCGCCAGGATGTAAAGCGATTCCGGAGACCGCAATTCCCATTTTCCGTCGCCCAGCAACTAATAACCAGGTTGCCGCGGGCTCGGGTCGTCAATAGGAAACTTGCGGGGGTGCAGGCGCCTGCAGGGGTTGGTTTCCGCTGCTGCAGCCATGCTGCCCCGCCATCTACGCATGCCTCCACTGGCTCTAATACTCACCTCCAGGGTTCAGTCTTTCTATAATTTTGTACGTACAAAGAGGGTATACGAGCGTATAATAAGAAACGCTTTCGCTACGCGCAAGTTCTCTTGCCCACAGGGTATCATTTACTGATGGATTTTAAAGATGGAAACCAGTACCTAACTGTTATGCAGCGTATGCAGCTTTCGATAGGCTATGGCCGTACAGTAGGCTACGGGGAAAGTTCACCAGCAGGTGCGCCTTCAAGGTGCAGCCAGGTCCTTGGTGTCCCCTTTGGGTTTCACCCCCTTGTTCTTTAACCCCCTCGTCTTCCAAGTTCACACGTCAACTGGTAGTATTTCCCAGCCGTTCGATGCTTTCGGCCAACTAACGACCTGCTGCTGGGACAGGCCGTACCTGCTGCAGTTCGCAAAGAATTGTTATTACATAAAGAGAGGCCGGCGGAATGAAGTCGTGACGGATGGGTGACGGATGGGTGAACATTCAGGCGAGCCTACTTCTTACTACGACATACTAGATGCGCATTGCTGTACCTGTAGGCACGCACACAACGTCTGTGTCGTACGCCTCAATTCCTTACACACGTGCAGGATGGGATGGGGATGAACCCTTAGGTCGCAGGAGGCCCCATCCAATGTCCCCAAGTCACCTCAACCCTGAAACTAAGAAAATGATGATGTTTGCTGTGTGCCAATGTCCCCAGGCGATGTTGCGGCAGGCAGTCAGTTCGCAAATTGTCCAGGCAAAAGACGAAGACTGTGCACACACACATTTACATTTTGTACTATATTGTTATAATATATCACTCTGGGAACCAGGAGCCTTCATTTCTGATTCGGTTCACATTCATTTCATCCCTTCATTTTGACCATTCATTCCACAACCAAATCGAGGGCCAAGTATCATTTTAGAATAGAGCCCTTCATTACAGAATGACGGGAGTTCAGAATGGACGCTCCCTACGGTTTGAATGCCCCTTCAGTCCAAAACGAAGCGGTCTCCATAAATGAACCATGCCCATCACGTGATATGAAGGCCCCTTCAGTCTAAAATGAAGTTCCATAAAATAAACCATGTCCATCACGTGATATGAATGCACCTATATATATATTGTATGACATGATTATATATGTAATGTTGTATGATATTTTATTTTATTATCAGTATTGGCCGCATTGTTTTTTTGTCTGGTCGCATTAGTGCGAATTGATTTCCCCATTTCGGACGAAGAAGGACGAAGTCAAAAAATCTTACGGGATATGCCCGGGGTGGCGCCCGAAGACGTCCGCTCGAGGGGGGGAGGAATGTAAGAAGGGTTCAGCCAGTGTTTTTTTTTCATTTTGGGCCTAGTACCCTAGAGTAATAAACTGGGTGTTTCTTGCGGTTAATATTCCTATTTGTATAGTCGCTGGGGGGGGCTGCCCCCCCAGACCCCCCCCCTCNAAGGCCGNACGGNGTGCTGTAANCCACACCTGACGTCTGGAAACACACATGCCGTACCACCATCGTTCTGTGCACCTAACTGCATTTGCGCCAGTGTCTCTGTGAGCAGGGCGCGGAGCCACTTTGACTGTCCATAAACGTCGTGAGCACACGAAGGCAAAATAGTGTATAAGCTCCAAATGTTCAGCTTTATATGTGCAGAAGGCATTTGGGGCGCGACTTATGGCCGAAGTAATGAACCAGTACTGCCAACTGACCAACGATTCCATTTCTTCCAGGCTCAGACCCCCATTTATTCCCAAAAAAGTAATATATTGCCAAAAAAAACACTGGGTTCAGCTCCCTGTGCGTACCTTCCGCTGACAGCCTTTGGGACTGACTTTGGCGATGACTGGAACGGATACAAATGATCGGGGGGGGGGGGGGGAGGACCAAGACCATCATACCGCCATATCCCAATCGATGCGGCAGTGGCCGCAATACTGTATATGAAATTGCGTACTATGCCATACTAATGTACAAATGTTGCCAAGCTCTTCCATCTCTGCTTTCTAATGTTTGGCTATGACTCTGCAAGGTAGGTTGTGCCCGAGATTGGTAATCCCCTGGGAAAAGAAACCTTTCAAGCCACAGCATACTTTGTGTTGTGGCTTGAAATAACATAACATCATAGGTGTAATAAACGAACGACATGTTTCTACAGACAGTGGATTGCTCAGCTCCACGAGTCCATGCATGAGTCTTTCTGCATCGTCTCGGCCCTATGAGACCAAGCTTATTTCGCGTTTTTGGGTCTTAAACGCCATCCAGGAGATGCCTTTTCATGGTACGCCCCCACCACGTCACTACCGTCATCGCCAATCCACACATTAGTTCCAGGAAGCTCCCTTAGCTGGCCCTCCCGTCGCAATGAAGATGTCGTGGCCGCTGCGGCGGCGGGAGCTGGTGATGATGAGGTTTCGATGGCTAGTTGGCGGTGGCGGTCGTGGCGGCGGTGGTGCTTCACATGTACACAGCACCTAGTAGCTGTCTTCTTCCTTTGCAGCCATGCCAGGACGACCATGTGACGTGTTCTTTTCGACTGGAAACAAACATGCTTTAGGCGTTAGGAAAGCGACATTTCCTGAAATACTAGCGACTCGGGTTGTATGGGGAGTTGCAGAACGGTGGTGGTGTTCGGGTCCGGGGTAGTAATTTGGTCATCAGATCGACAGTGAGTTCAACACAGCTGGCGGCAACACGACTATGTCGCCTGTGGTGTTCAACTAGCCGCCAAAATCTCATCACCAGCTCCCGCCGCCGGCCCCGCTGCCACCGCCACCAGCGGCTGCTGCTTCCCTAAGCCCCTGCAGGCGCTGCGCCAGCTGCAGGGCCCTGGTGACCCCCGACACGGGCCTCAGGAGCAAGCTGCCGAAGCAGCGCTGCAGCTTTTGTCGCGTGTGCAGCTGGGGCGGCTGCGTGGCGTCATCGGGCACCGCAACCTCCGTAAGAAGCTATCGTCGTCTCAGCCAAAACACCCAAAGCAGCCAAAGGGACGAAAGAAGGCAAGTCGAAAATCAGTAATTCAGAATCAGTAATTTAGAAATGTGGTGGAACGATCCTGATGCTGAACAGTAAGCAGGTCTCACTACCGGCACACACGAGGCTGTTGAACACCGGCCAGCCGGATATGGTCACCCTTGTCGTACGAGTGTCACATCGCGCGGTGCCAAGCGAGGAATGAGTCTAACGGTCCGTGAACGGAACATGAACAGCCTCTTGTAAACAAAGCCCAAGTGGGAAGGGAAAGAAAAGGGAAAGCATTGAGAGGAGGCGCGTGTTGACGGCCCAGGGCTGCTGCACTGCATGGCAAACCACCACCACCTCCTCCTCCTCCTCCTCGGACTAAGTCCCCCCCTGCGAAACCCGGGGGGGAGTTGAACCCACCTTGCGTATCGCCGTCAGGAGCTGCCCGTGCTCCTCACTCAAGCCCGGTCCATCCGCACCATGACTTCCACACACAGCGGATGCACCGCCACTGCCACCGCCGCGGCTACCTGTGAAACCGCTTCCCCCCAGGCGGCCGCTGCTTCCGCCCGCAGCGCGCACGCTCCCCTCCTCCTCCCCCTGGTCCGCCCTCGCTGACAGCCACAGCGCCGCGGCTTGCAGGGGCCTCCGAAGCGGGTAGGCAAGCAGCACCTGAACAGCGGCCGGGTGTACAGGGAGGTGGTTGTTGGGCGGGGTGGCTGGGTGCATATGGAGTTGGTGTTTAAAGGACACTTAGGATTACACTAACCACCACTCCTGTTCACTATTTAACGTCGTGTCCCCGCCTCCACCCACCCATTCCCACCATCCCTCCTTCCCTCCACCCCTTCCCACCTCCACCCGCCCATCCACCCCACCCTTCTTTCCGCCCTTCCCCCAAACCGCAACCAACCAGCAACCAACCGCCTCTCCGGCGCCTCCTGCTGCTCGCGGCACGTAAACTCCTCAAGATAGGTTTTGCTTTAACAGCGCCACCACGTCCCATGCAGCAAACCCCCCACCTGGTGACACCACCTCTCATCAACCCACCGCAAGCTGTCCGAGATTCTATGATTGAAAAAATTTCCAGTTTTGATAATACAACAAAAACCACCACTAGATTTTATCAATAAAAAAATTGCCCATGGCCCGCCTCATCAAAGAATAGTCGCTTATATTCATCCAATATTTCTTAGCCAAATGAATTTTCCTAAAGCTGTTATAACAAGTATTACCATACAATGATATAATAAATCCAATAAATTCTAGAAGGACCCATGCCGCAAAGAAATTTTGTCCTTGGGAGCTCTTAAAATATGCTTTAGGCTATTAACCCGTTACATGATTCAGCACTAGACGATTCTTTGTGTTGGAAGCTTCAGCTAAGCAACTTGGTATCAATAGATTGTCTGAGGTAGCAAAACAGACAGAAGGGTTTTCACCTGATTGGATTTGTTTTACTGAAGCCCCATTTTACCCAACCCATCCTCCCGTGGTGGTGGCCGGCACCCCGGGTGACACCGGCCCCCGGCCCCTTCTTCCCCACCTGGCTCCGGAACAGCAGCAGCCCCTTGTTGGTGAGGTGCGGAGGGGCCAGAGGGGCCTCCCTCTGTACCTCCGCGGCACCCGCCAGCTGCCGCTCCGCCTCCACACGCGCACCCAGAGGGCCGCACCACACCACCCAGACCTAGCAGCCGCATTATAGGGGCCGATCAACAGACGCACATATGGACAGCACACACCAGAAATCGACATGTGGGAATGGGTATGTCGGAAGGGGAAGGCACTGTGCATTAAGCGCTAACGCAGCAGGTGTTCATGTGCATTCAAGATTGAGCACACGAGCTGCTTGTTCTTTTTCTCAGGAATAGCTAATCGCAACGCCTGTACCCCCCCCAGCGTGTTCAAAGCAAGTTCGGTTCTTCTTTTTGTTTCCGCAAAAGCAAAGCGGCGAATGGTGACGAATGGGAGCGAGTGGGGGCGAGTGATGACGAGTGGTGGCGAGTGGTGACGATTGGTGACTAATGGGGGCGAGTGGGGGCGAGTGATGACGAGTGGGGGCGAGTGGGGGCGAGTGGTGACTAATGGGGCCGAGTGGCGAGTGGGGCGAGTGGTGACGAGTGGTTGACAAGTAGTAACGGGCGAGTGGTGATGAGTGGGTGACGAGCGGGGCGAGTGGGGGCGAGTGGTGACGAATGGTGACGAGTGGGGCCGAGTGGGGTCGAACTGGTGACGAGCGGGGACGAATGGTGACGAGCGGGGGCGAATGGTGACGAGCGGCGGCGAGTGGTGACGAATGGTGACGAGTGGGGGCGAGTGGTGACGAATGGTGACGAATGGGGGCGAGTGGGGGTCAGTGGTGACGAGGGTGACGAATGGTGACGAACGGTGACGAGTGGTGACAAGTGGGGGCGAGTGGTGACGAGTGGGGACGCCGAGGTAAATATAGCCGACCCTTTAGGCTGCACATGCACATGCACATGCACATGCACATCTCTTCCCCCCAAAAAGCCGCTTCACGCCACCCGTGGGGAGTGAGGGTGGTTAGGGAGCTCCACAAGTTAACCCTGAGGCGCCCTGCTATTCCTCCGTGAGGCCCTCCGCTCCATCACAATTGCATGTCACTGCCTCGCGACCCTTCTGACCTCCAGCCACCGCCGGTACACTGGCCAGGAGCTCAGCAGCCGCCGCCATAGCAGCAATCCCTCCGCCACAATGGCAGGTGGCTCCGAAACCGCCTCCTGGAGGGAAAGGACGGTTGGAAAGGGCAGCGGCATTTTGCTCCCGATGATGTGTTTGCGGTGAAAGCTGAAAAGGCGCACCAAGATGCTTCTACAGGCTGTCGAACTGTCGAACGCGCCACACACGCATCGAGCGGGAGTCCCGATAATGTTCTCTACACAATACCCTGTTGGATCTGCTAGGCATGGATCCGCTAGAGCAGCTGCTGTCGATGAAATCGTTCACATATACAACCCCCACACGCCAGCTATGACACCTTGACTTCACATAAAGGACCTCCTTAGCCGTACGTACCATGCAAGGCACGCCGTCCGCCATGCAGTGACGGCAAAACACGTCAGCACGTCCACAACTGCCCCGCACTCACCACCATCAGTACCACTTCCCGCATCTCCGGCTCATCCAGCTCCCACTGTACAACACCGCCTCCGCCACCTTCACCGCCTGTGCCGCCGCCATCACCACCCCCTCTCTCGAGGCCACTGCTCCCACCAGCGGCGCGATGCGATGCCCCCAACGCCAGCGCGCCGCGCGTGTCGCCCCTCCTTAACAGCTCTGCGAACCGGTCTGCATAGCTACTGCCGCCGTACACCATGTCTCCACGAAGAACAGGCTGCCCGCCGCCGCCGCCGCCGTCGCCGCTGCTGCTGCTGCTGCTGGGGTCCCGAAGGGAAAGTCCACGCCGCCGCTTGGCGCCTTGACCTTTGGCCAAATCGGCGGACGTCGACGAGCACGTCGCTGCCGCCGCCTCCGTGGTCAGGTGGTCCCGTATCTGGTCACAGCGGGAGGCCATCACCGCCGCCACGCCTTCGTACAAGGACAACCACAGGGCGCCGCCGGAGCAGCACAGCTTGCCCACCATCTGCTGCACGCGCACCGCGTTGAAGCGCTCGTCCACCTGCCGTACCATCACATGGACCATACATCATAGCCATAAACTTCTCAAGGGATACAAATGTCTTCCAGCATACCTTCACGAGTTGCATTACCTCGGCCCCGGTTTTCTCCGGGTCTATGTTTTTCGACCTTGGCAAGACGGTGCTTAGAACCGCTCCAGGACCAGCAGTAGTAAGAGCAAGCGACTCTGCCCTTCCTCCAAGACTCTCCTGATCCCTCATCTTGGTCTACTGGCCGGGGTCCTTGCACTCACACTAAATACCCCTACGGACACACATGCGCATGCAAAACCCCACCGCCGAGCCGCATCTGATACAGCAGCCGATACTCAAGGTACGCTACATACATGCACACATACATACATACATACATACATACATACATACATACATACATACATACATACATACATACATACATACATACATACATCCCGTCCGCACCCCCACTTACATCCCGCCACTCCGACACTCGCCTCACCTGCAGTGCTGACCGGTTCCTGCCGCATGTCTCCCACAGCTGGTCCACATGTGTAATGCGACCCCTTCCCCCTCGCCACCCATCCCCTAACACCGCGGGAGGAGAAGCCGCAACGCTGCCGCTGCCGCTGCTGGCGACTTCGCAGGCCCCTGATGGACTGCTGCTAATACCCACCTCCTCCGTGACACGGGAGCCCTTGCCCTGCTGCAGCTTCTCCCCCATCCTGCTGTCACTGCCCCGCCCAACTCCGCAACCTGTGCAACCCTCATCCTGCCGCTGCTCCTGCTCAGGCTGTTGCCAGCCAACCGCACCAGCACTGCCCGCCGCAATGTCCAGGACCACACTTGATAACTCCGCCGGCGTATGGAGAGTTGCAGCTCCGGCACTACAAGTGACATGGCTGCTTCTAGAGCCGACGACTGCCTGGGACAGTGGTGCGGCCTGCAGGCTGGGGCCCTGGTGCAGTCCTGGCGCCTGGTGCTTTGGCAGCTGCAGCTGCTGCTGCTGCGGTGGTGGAGGTGGTGGAGGTGGCGGCATTGGGCCCTGCTGGTGGTGCTTGTGGTTGGTGTTGTGGTGGTGTTGCTGGCCCTGGCGGCCTCCAGAATCAACGGCCGCTCTGCAGGCAGCGAGCCACAGGGACGCCGCCGCCTGCATGGCGGTGGGGAGCACACAGTACGGGAAGGGAGGGTCGAAAACTGTGGCGGTTGTGGGAGTGCGAGTGGGAGTGGGGGCGGAGGCGGCGGGGCGTAGCTCGCGGAGACGGGGAAGCTTGGGGTAAAGTAGTGTTAGGGCAAATGCAAAACGAATGCGCGGACGAACACGGACTCGGACTGCTTTCGCACATTGCCACGCAGGCGACGGTGTGAGTTGTGGTTTCAGGAATGCTGTTGGCGACGTATGTGTGTTTGGCTTTCCCCGTGTTTTCTGTATGTATGGCATGTCATGACAGCTTTAACCCAGCATAGACATACATACATAATCCAAGACGCCGCTAATCGCTAACATGCAAACTCCGAAGGAGGATCTCAACCCGGGGGGACATAAACAGAATGTCCTCCCCTTTTGCCGCTTCACCGCTGCCCTTCCACCTCTATCACTTTCTGCTGCCATGTCATGCTTTCCAAACCCCCGAACCCGGGGGCCCGACAGGCTGAACCTTGTTAACTCTGCTCCCCAAAGGACACGTCCGTACCCTCAGCCCTATGATGCAGAGCTGCGGTCGAAGGCCTACGACTTAACTGGCCCCTTTAAGTCCCTACCCTACCCTACGCAACTCTACCTCGTCACGCCCTTCCTTCCAACACAGCACACCATACTCCGCAATTGGCGTTGACATACACCACCGCTCTCCCACACCACAGCCTACATTTGTGCTCACTTCCACCCCTCCACAGGGCGCTTCACCCACCTCCACTACGTATTCGAAGCCCTTTCGGAGCACCATGAACCGAACCGCCACCTGCAGACCCATGGGACACATCACATATCGCATGTGCTCAGTCGAAGTAAGGTGCTACGTGGTTCGAAGGAAGCCACCGGTGCAGATACAGCAGACACTGAGCGGGACCACGCCATGATCTCGACATACCTGGATACCTCCACGGCCCATGCCCCCAAACCCCCATCATCACCCCGCCCGCCCAGAGTTACGCACTCGCAAAAATAAAACCTCCCTTCCTCCTTTCCCAGGGACTGGGTAACAGCTGGTATAGCCACGTATCTCTTTGTCCGTGGGGGGAAGAAGGGGTGCGCCAGCGCGCCGGGGCTCTGTCGTACCTGCGTTAGTGCACACGTGGTCTTGTACGACAGCATCTTGCTGTGCGGGTGGTCGCAGCCCGGCGGCGGCCGCAGCACCGGAGAGCCCGCGTGCGGGGCCCGGCTCCAAGCGCGTCCCGGCAGCTGGATGGAGTCCAGCTCATACCACAGCTCGTTGCTTCGCTTCCACGTTTCGCGGCACAGCGCAAAGCAGTCGGGTTGCAGAGAGCAAGGTTGGGACGTGGGACGGCAACCGCACATGAGGGGGGGCCCCATTTGAATTAAACGACTCCAGACAGAAGGCAGCAACATAGGCCACAGGGCAGACTTGCGGATGACAAAATCCGACTCTACTTATGCGCCTTGGCAGATACGGCCTATAAGCTGGGCCATCTGTGTGCGTGGCGCAAACAGGAGTTTGCTGCACTCATCGACGGTTAACCTTGAAGAATGCCCATAGACACGCACATTTAAGCGCTTACTTCGCAGCTGGAGACCCAATCAGTGTTGCGGCTGCCTCAGCAATGTTAACGGGAATTCCCCATTGTTATATACACACACACAGACGCACAGAAATACGTACAGGCGTACAGATGCCCCCATGCTGGCGCACCTGAGGGTTACCACTGACAGCCAGTGCCGGCACACCAGCGCAGCGCGCACGCAGTCGCCCACGTCGCGCAGGCCGCTCAGTACCAAAAGTAGAACCTGCGGATGGAGCGTCCGACACCGCCGCCAGCAACCAGCGTTGCCACCGTCCAATCCGTTGTAATCGCACGAGCAGAACGTGCGGCGGTCCGACAGCAGATGGGAGCGGACAAGGGTTGGCAGTTAACACATTCCTTTCTAATCGAAAGGCCATCAAATAGTCCACGGTGCCGATTGTGGGGACCATAAGATTGCCCAAGCGCACCTACCTCCGCTGGAATAGAATCTCCGCGAGTGGTCACCGGAGACGTACTGTTGTCCACCGCGGCCTGGGAGCCCGTAGCGGCTGGGGTGTTTGCAGCAGCCAACTCGGCGGGCTCTGGGCTAAAAGGCGTGACGCCGCGGTTGCCGCTGCCTCCCACGTGCGTACAGCTCAAGGCCTGATTACAACTAGACGAGGAAATTGTCACATGCTTTCTGGCTGAAGCGAAGCTATTCATAGCGGGCGCCGTGTCATGACGTCGCGCCAGGCCGTCGCTGACCCGCTGGTCAACGTGATCTGTGTCCTCCGTGACAGCCGGTTTAACCTTAGCATGGCATGTTTCGTCGCCCCCATCGAGCTCCTGTGTGATGTACCGTGCATCAATTGTGGATTATGTTTCGGCACACTGTTCAGATGGCTGCGGCCATGTCGCATAAGTGCTGACCAAGAAAGCCTAGATCAGAGCAATAATGCATTTCCAGGAGCTTTACAATCTTACTGCCAGTTCCGCAATCCAATCAGAGTCGCTCGCCGGCCCAGCAACGTTGTCAGGGTTGCTACTGGAATGTGTGGACGCATCTTGGGTCCGGCTACTCGTTACTCGAAGCTGCCATTGTGGAAAATCAAATGTAAGAGACATGGTACCGCTCCTATACTTTTAACTGGAGCCAGATTGCAAACCCTAGCTTCAGCAGCGTATCATGACGCCGCGTCATAGTCACAGGCGAAAAGTACAGGAAGAATCGCCACGTCGCATGCACTATGGATGCAGCAATGATTCAGATATGATCAAGACCTTGGAATTTCCTCAGCAGTCGTCGTGACGGTTGGTTCGCCAGCAAAGCTCCGTGGTCTCGGAGGGCGCTCAGACAGTCCTGATGTGCCGGCACTCTCTGGCTGTCAGTGGTAACTGTCAGTCCACGCTCACGTCCAAACATCAACGCAAACAACTTGGAAAGCCTGGGGCTCTCATCCCTGCCTCTTCAATCTCCACTTCCTATTTCCATGAGCCCGTGTGCGTTTTGCTACAGAAGCTCCAATCTTCAGTGAGTGACGCAAATGTCATCATTAATGCCATAGGATGGACATATGTGCATTCAGGGGTGCATTATTGCGCAGAAAGCCGAGACATCTTTGCTGTTTGGAACGACTACCGACCGAAGCCACCATCGGGCCTCCAAAAGGCGGTGCAAGTGCATTTCGCGTTCACGCACATTGCATTGCGCCGCCAGTAGCACGCAACTGCGTCATTGGAGCCACAAACACTGGTACGCCAATGCGACTGACATTTCCAACGGTTTGTCCGTTGGGATAACCAACCCATGCTTGGTGAAATGAACTTGCCCTGTCTGGCAACACCACCACCTTCAGGACTCCCTCCCATCGCCAAATATGATTCAGATCCACCCAGTCGTCTGTTGGCAAAAACATACAAGGTCCCCTAACCAAGGGTGGTCATATTACACATGAATGGCTATCATGGATACCAAGCCAGAAGCTGTGCGTTCAGTACCAGCAAACCAAGAGTACTGCAGGCCCCAAAACTGAGGCCAAACTGAGCATGTCGCCTGTCGCGTCCCTCAACCGGCCCACATAGGACAGTTTCCTGGCTCGCCAAGCGATGAAACCCAGATCCTCAGCTCACAACCCTTGACAACAGCCAAGCCCAACCAGGCCCACAGTATAACCAACTGCTGTTTACCTAAACCTCCCCTTACTAGTGCTTGCTCTGAAGCAAACCTGCATACCCCACTACACTGGCCTGGAACATGTGTAATGGCTGGGGCAAGGTGAAGTCCTCGGACTCTTCCCCTTCCCAGCACCGTGGTGGCCGCCTGTGCTCATCTGGCAGCCCAGCGTTTTCTATTTGTATGCTTGCGATATTTAATGTCATTATGTAACATGAATACAACCCTGAGTTGAGGGGTTTGTAACACAGGTCGGCAAATCTTGTGGGTACTGTGGGTCTGTACCACAGTACCCGCAGCCGAAATTCGGGGTGAACCGCTAGGTGGACCCCGCTGTGCCATGTGCAGCGCGCGTAAGCACGGGCTGGCATGGCGACGAATAGAGGCGTAAGGCGTGACCTTATAAAACGATAGGACTGCAATGTGTACTGAACGAGCAGCACTTATAACGCTGATCTTTTTTGTCGCCGGAAGGCGCCCCAAATTCCTTTTTGGTTTACTGACCAAAATTATGCCCTCCAGCAGCCGTGGAAACCGATTTGCCGACCTCTGATTCGGATATCAATCCGTTTTGGGCGCTTTATATCCTTCATATCGTAACCTCTTTGTAAGGCATTCGTAATGCAAATCGTATCGACACATGAGGTGGGCTCCGAAGATCCATATGAAGTAAACTGCCGATGAGTTATATGTGAATACTGTACTACGAGCATATGGAGTAGAAACCGCACGCTACGCGTATGTAGGCTTGCCCACTGTTGATAACTCGTACAGAAACTTCGACGTATCGCATAATGGCGGGATATTTGCGATTTGCATCGAAAGGACAAGGCGGCTGGCGGTAACGCAAGCGAGCCCGGAGATATCGGCATCGGCCCTGGGAAGAGTTCTCTTTTCTTTCTAAAAACCCGAAGGCCCTGGAATCGAATCATTCGAAGATAGGGCTCCCGAGACTTCGTGTATGGCAGGGTCCTGGCTGTGTTCTTCGCTCTATCCCTAAACCTATGTAACGAATATCAAGGCGACTGCTCCATATCCGCTGCCTAGTTTAACAGGTTACGAGCCCCGCGCAAGGATAGTGTCGCAGTCTGCCGGAATCAGACAACTGGGGATTGCAGTCTCTGGTTAAAAGTGGCTCTGGTAACTTTGAGTCTGGTACTAGGCAGCTGCCTGCAGGGAGGCTACTTATAGCCGGATTTGCGAAATTGCCGATCAATCGAAGCAGGTCCCGAAACTGGAGGAATTGTCTTATTGTGTAGTGGGTATGGTTGAGGGTGCTGCAGCGTATGTTGTGATGTGACTTAAGAGAAATTGTACGAGTACGGTGAGTCGAATGAGGTGCAGTTACCAATCGCGATGGAAAGCTTACAAGGAGCCAAGCTAACTGATGAGTTGTGCTCGTCTAACAACTCAAAATCATTTTTCGTCTTGTACCTGTTTTGTGCCTTGGTGGCTGAAAGCAGACTTCTTCGGCTGGTTTGCCTGGGATGCGTTGGGAAGATCCTGATCTTTGTTGTTGGACTAGGGGGGGCTTTCCAAAGCCGAAGTCGACTATGGGGGGGGGCTTTTCGGCCCCGGTGCAGCCACTTGACCCCCCGTTGATTTGCAGGGCAGTCCGTACAGCATAGGAGTGCAAGCACAAGAACGCCGCCACGTTTGGTGCAAACATTTGTTATTGAATATTTCAAACATTAAACGTGTTGTAGCGCGTTAGAGCGTTACAGAACTTAATCGCTGTGTGATTAAGACACGGCTTGATAAGACTGATCTACGAACAGTCTACAAATATCTTGGAGTTTAGGAGTGTTTCCTAACCAAGGAATGACACGCACAGACACATCGGTTTGAGCAACCAAGTACATTGCAACGTAGATCTGAAGAGACACTTACGATAGAAGTTGTTGCGGCCTCCTAAGCAACGAGTATTTATATTCGGGAGGAAGCCTGGGTTAGATATCTAACGATACACCAGTGAGAGAGATTCTAGAAGCCTACGCTTCTAATGCTCCTTTCTTAGAAGAGAGCCCAGACCTTGACGGAGCGAATCCGTCCTGTAACCTGTCGGTTCCCGCCGACATTACGCGCTAACAAAAGGTCGGCAGACTTGCTACGGCGGTGTAGACCTGTCTGGATCGTTTTAGGGTTTCTAGGCTTTTTAGCCATAGCATAATCATTATTGACTGAACAGTTAGCCTTCTTGTGATGCGGCAATCCGTAGAATGACATACACACAAAGCATTAGTGTCATTGCGGCAACGTGTGTTGCCGCTGCTGCGCCAAATCCATGAGTCGGGACTGCCCGATACGTAGGTGGTACTACCGTTGCATCCATGTTCGATGCCGGCCCTTCGGTCTGCTAGCTAGCAGCCCAAGGCGCGCCAAAGTGCCAGTGCTTCATGGACCAATTGTGTGTGTGTGTGGTTGTTACAGTGGGCTCCAGACTCCCGAAGAGTAGAGCCATCGGGCCAGCTGGCCGTGCACTGCAGTAGATACTAATATACCAATTGTTGTCCGCTCCCAGCCAGAATGCATTCGGGGATCGTTCCAGTGGCACATTTTGAGATTGGAATGCAGCGGCAAAGCTGATGGTGTGTCGCAAAGGCACACTTCGTTTGAACTTGAATAAGAAGGACAGCAATCAAACAGGCACGAGAGAGACGCCAGGAGGGAGGTGCTTAGAGCGTTGCCATGGTCGGTCTAAAGTTGCCGAGCATGAAGGAACCAAACCATAAAATCATGCCGTTTGCTTATGATTCTTTAATGTAAGGGATATGCAACGACGTCATAGGCAAGGGCTGCGGCGTGAGGGAAGTGACTTCCCGGAAGTCAAACTCGAAGCCATGGAAAGCTATCTTTGCGATCCGATGTATCTGAATGTTCTCCTTTGGCCAATCAATAAAGAATTGATGTAGCTTTTACATGCAATGCGGAGTGAGATATGTAAATTGATCTCACCCTGGAAAGCTATCTCCGCCGACAGATATATCTGAATTCATTTCCTTGGTCTATCAATAGAAATAGCTTTCAGGCGCAATTTAAAGCGGGGCAAGATATGAAAGTTAATATGTTAGGAAGGCTTCCTAGCTTTAAGCTAACTTCGCCCACAAATTTATCTGGATTAATTCCATTGGTCCATCGATAGAGAACCAGAATAGCTTTCAGACGCAATTTTAATCGGGGTGAAATATGATGAAATGTTACACCATGACTGACTGACTGACTGACTGACAGCAGTGAACCTAGCCCCCGAAAGGCGCTTCGCGCCTGGGGCCTCGCCCAAAAAGACAAACACAGAAATACAAGCAACATTAACGTGTTCCTCTCCCTCCTGTCCCTCATCCCTTTCCTCTCCCTCCTCTTTCTTCTCTCCCTCCTTTCCCTCCTCTCCTTACACTCTTTTCGCTCCCCTTCAACGCGTCTCATCTTCCTAGTCTCTCTCTCGCCCTGTGACATTAATCTTGCAGATGTACTTCCCGGTTCCAAGGTTCAACTCCGTACACGTCTCTTCCTGCAGTGCTCAAGTACAACGTTCTATCCTTTATTACTAGTTCTTTTTCTCTATATCGCTTGACTCTTCACGTTGCCATTTGTTCGAGCGTCACATCCCATGTGAACTTTCGTAACCGTCTTATGTTCGGCCACAAGTTCACATTGCACATCTTCCTGGCTTCTGCGCTTTTAACGTGTTTCCTCTCTTATTCAATAACATCGCGCTACGGCCCCGGCCGCAGCGCCTCCTGTTACGACGTTCCTGCCGGATTGCGGAAAGAGTAATTGTGTCTCAGTCCGAGCATGCGCATTCATTGTACTATAACATTTAGGTCCTTGCCCACCTAGTCGCCGGGCAAGCCAACGCTACACGAAAACAAAGCCCTTAGTTGGCCCTGCTGAGAAGCTCGTCGTAAGAATGTAAATTTCAAAAGTCATAAAATGTGCTGGTTTCGCGTCGTTAGGCTAGCTGCCATCTATCGCTGTAAGTCGAGCCGCCGTTGTCAATTAATCATCCAAAAGGCTCACATCTCAGGATCACGATCGTGATTATTTATGTGTCGCGACACATAAATAATTACGAACAAAAAACCGAAGGGCGAATTTAGAACTTTATTGTCGTCGTAATCGTGCTGCAGCCGTACAGGGGCAGTCGCAGCGACCCAGCGGGCGATTGAAGGCCAGTTTTTGAGTGGCACGACACGCAGCGCCTTTACCACAGGTGCCATGCATGAGCATAACCATGGATGAAGCCAACTGAGCGAAGGGTTGAGGCACCTAGATCGTCAGGCATCATCAGGGCTTCCATCGGTGAAAGCCACAGAAGCACGTGCCCCATCAACGTGCGTCTAATCGGCAGCTAACGAAGAAAGCAGTTAAATTCGCCGCGCGCCGCTATATATGTTTATATACCTCGCCTTTTACGTGGCCTTGCATTATATCCACGTCGCAATATTTTCCGGCGGATGGTTCAGGATTGAGAAATCAATCAATCGACAATTGGTTTGGCTTTTAAATGATATTACAGTGTATCCCAAAGCAAGGATTGTTGGCGAATAAATCTCACCAATCCGACACTGCATGGCCGAAGCCAAGCCGCGCAATTGCTGCTTTGCCGCCGCCTGGATGAGCCGCACCGGACATTACAGCCAGGCACACGCTAAGGAGCCCATGAACATGTGCAGCGTGACAGAACATGCAGCGATTAGCATAGCTTCCAGCACGACAGTCATGTACGGCAGAAAACTCTAACCTATTAACGCCCTATGCATGGAAGCACAAACAGGCGAACACTATTTACATACTGATAGTTAACATGCCGGCAGCTTTGCCAGCAACTCTTCCTATATAAACGTCCATGGCCCCCCCGGCTTTTACGGACACACCCGCACTTGTGTGCGGAACTTGTAACTTGTAACTTGTATAATGTCTGGATTGAGTGGTTCCTTGTTTGTGTCTGTTACACCTCTCCGGGTATCACAACCGAGGTGTAACACACAGACACACATATTCGGTCTAAGGACCGATTGTATGTGGAGGTGACGCTGTGTCCCCGTGCGCAGGGGTTCCTATTCCGCACAGAACGCCCCTTTACGATAGCGGTGACGGCCTTTCTAGAAGCTGGTTGGGCACACAGCTTTCCTCTCCGTTACCCGCATTTGACGTGTGGCCAATCTCTATCGCCACCCCTCTATCTGCTCCCCGTGTGGGATGCTGCTTGGTAATGAAAAGCTCTCTCGACGCAGCACCGTCTCCTGTCCTTACTTCCCGCCTACCCATACGCGATACACCGCTGGCAACGGGGCAAAGATCTGTGCGTGTGGCAGCTCCAGCAGTGCGGAAGCTCTTCCCAGCCTGTCCCGGCCATCTGATCGGGCACCGCTTGTCAACATCCTCTTTCCCCAGCTCATGCAATATCATCAGCGTATCCTTCCGATTATAACCCTTCCACTTCTGTGCCGCAAAAAGTGCCCTAACGCAGCCTCCAGCAAGTTGGCGCGTATCATTGAATTAGATCTGAAGAATGGATAAAGTCCTGAGGGACGGCATAACAATGCACGGGTGCCTGCTGGCGCCCTGCCTGCCATGCGACGCGTTGTGTCGTCGCACCCTGAAAGGGAAGGAAAAGGAAAGGAGACGCCCTTCCTTCCTTCCTTCCTTCCTTGCAACAAACGTTGACATGGAAAATGAGCAACGTGAGCGAAAGCACATCATGTGCACGCATCTAGTCCCCCACACCATCCTTCCGCAGAGGCAAACCTAAGCCCCGCCAGGATGCCGTATGTTCCTCAATCCCACTCTCCTACAGACGCGCCCTGCTCTGCTCTGCCCGGCCCCCAAAGCCTAGGCCACCCGCTACTTCAAGCTTACAGCATGCCACATTTACTGGCAGCCCTCACCCTGGGGCAGGAAACTTCTCCACACACGGTGGAGATCCCTGCTGAGCAGGCTTCAGGCATTACTGTCCAGTACCCGTTCCAAGACCGTTATGTTGTGTTAGGTGCACGTGTACACGGGTTAGCCGTATGCAGCAGGAAGTCCGCCGTCCAGCGACCTTCGCGCCCATCCACGTGGACCATCGCCAACATGTGCACGCTCGCACACGTATACAGCTGCTTGGCGGGACGTGCACAAAGGAGGGGTCAGCAACAACGTTCCCCTCCCCATCCTCCGTCTCTTGACTCTCGACCGCGTCCTAGGTAATGTACCAGGACCTGATCTTTGTCACACTCACTCAGGCGCTTATCTCCAGCACCCGCTTTATGCGTCCCGTCGCCGGCCAACCTGGAACGTTTGGAAGAGAGAGGGGCCATGGCCGCCGTCAGATCCGACCAGATTAGGTCAGTATGTGTGATTCTCAAATTCCGTGTCAAAACACGTGTCGCCCGATTGATTTGGTTCGGCATGGATCGGTGGGTGCTGGGACACGTCCGTACAAGTCAAAGGGTAGAGCAAAGTGTCGGGCAGGACGGGCACTACTAGGAAAACAGCGCCCCCAGCGCTTAGCAGCGTAACGGGCCCTAGGAGGCCAGGCTCGATCAGCAGCAGTACGGATCGCTTGCTGGTTGTGCACCTGGCACTGCACCTGGTACCGCTGCAAGGAGGGTGGCCTTTCGCGCAGCAAATCACTATCTGATACCGTGCGGGAAACACGCAGACTGGAAAAGATGAGCTACGCGGCCCGATACGGGAGCAGCAAAGGTGCGATGCCAGAACAAGTGCTATACATTACGGGTTTAGGGTTAAGAGCCGACGTACCGAGCGAGGAGACGGTGGCTTGGGTGGCGCGCGAGGCGGAGGCCGGGGCGGTGGCGGCGGAGGCCGGGGAGGCCGGGGGTTAGGGGGTGGAGGGCTTGGTGGCAGTGGGCTAGGAGGTGGCGGGCTTGGTGGCGGTGGGCTGGGAGGCGGTGGGCTGGGGCTGGGAGGGGGCGGGGGCGGGGGCGGCGGTGGAGGCGGCGGTGGAGAGTCCGGCATCGGCGGCTGAGGTGGCCAAGGGGCCTCTGGAGGGTGCGAGGGACTGGGTGGTGGCGGTGGACGTGGAGATGGGGGTGGCAGCGGGGGTGAAGGGCTAGGAGGTGGAGGGCTAGGAGGTGGAGGGCGAGGCGGATTAGGGCTGGGAGGTGGGGGGCTTGGCGGCGGTGGTCTGGGAGGGGGGGGCCTTGGCGGCAACGGGCTCGGAGGCGGGGGGCTTGGCGGCGAAGGGCTTGGCGGTGGAGGGCTTGGCGGGAGGGGACTTGGTGGTGGCGGACTGACCGGAGGTGGCGGGGAGATAGGAGGAGGCGGACGGGGGCTCGGCTGCGGTGAGGGAGGCTTGGGAGGAGGTCTGGGTGATGGCGGCCTGGGTGGCGGCCGTGGCCTCGGCGGCGGCCGTGGGCTGGGGGGCGGCCGTGGTGGCGGCGGCGGTGGTGGCGGCGGCGGTAGCGGCGGCGGTGGTTTTGGCGGCGGCGCACTCGGCGGCGGCGGGGCGGGCGGTGGTGACGGACGCGCCTCAAGGAAGGCCAGGGAGGGGCAATCTGCGGGGGAGGTACTGTAGCGGCAGATGTGCACCTTGAGCGTGTCATTCCCGACCCAAGATCCACCGTACACTACCAGTCTGTAGTTTGTGAGGTTCGCCTGACTTTGCGATGCTACGGTTGCGAGGAAAGAAATCTTGCGGTCGGTGTAAATCCAGTAGCTCGGGTAGCCGTTATCCTGCAGTCAAACACATTCGCGAAGCAATTCAGGATACGGCCATCAGCACTGGGTGGATCCCTTGAAAGACGCAGTTCTGCAATCACGAAAGGTAAAGGCAAGGCAAGGCACTAGAGAAAAACATGAAGGAGGGAAAACTTGAAGGAGGGAAGGAAGGCGGCCAAGCGCAAGGCTTCTGACGCACACGCACATGCAGTGTCGGGACCGCCACTCACCATGGTCGCGTTAACTTCGTGGACGTTCACTTTGTTGGCATAGAAGCTCGACAAGCTCGTGTCACCGCCCTTGTTCACACGTACGGCGATGTACAGGTTCTTCCCCAGGGAGATGTTGGAATACGTGGGCAGCCAGTCTGGCATGATCCTCAAGAAGTTGCCTACTGGAGTGAGGTAGGTGGCAGGAATGTTGAACGTCAGCGCCGTGTTGGCGGGTAGCCTTTGGGAGTCAATGGCATCGCCGCCTGGCGCGGGAGATGACCAGCCCAGGCGAGAGATCTCGGCGGCGTTGGGGCAGACATCTCCACGGCCCATGGCGGTCGAGTAGTCCTCGTACTCCCAGCCGTTTTGCCAGGAATGCCACAGACCTGGGGATGTCAAGGACGGCGGGCGGGAGGGACGGTCGGCAAAAGCAAATCAGATTCGAGACAGAAACAGAGTCAGAGGGCTGGCTGCGAGGTACGACGTCCGGGAACCCCCGAAGAGGAAAGAAGAGGAAAGAAGGCACTCGTTATTGTACGGCTGCAAGTTCTCGGAGGAGGCATTCTGGTAGGGATAGGCCAACCAGATCTCCCTTCCCGTCCTGTAGCTTCTGAAAACCACCCGGGAAGCACACACACACAGCACACACAGCACGCACACAGACACACGCACAGACACACAGACACACAGAGACACACACACACACAGACACACAGAGACACACACACACACACACAGACACAGAGACACACAGAGACACACACACACACACACACACACACGCACATACATATACACACACGCGCATACAGATTGGATGTTCTCTTGCGCGCGTGCACGCATGGACTTAAAGTTTCATTCTAGCTAAGGATATCCATCAACCTCCTCACTGAAAAGAGAAAAGGAATTTTGAGTTTGAGGGGCTGCTGGCCGCACGGGCAGCTTTGTACTGTCCCCATTTCAATACGCTCTCTTGCGTCCCCTGTGCCCTCACCGTAGTTGTGAATAGACTCCTGCATGATCGTGGCCCAGCGGTTTACGCCGTACCCAGATGTCTGTAGCCAGATCTGCCGCCCTGGCAGCAGTGCAAGCCCAGCCCAGGGGCACAGATTCATCATGCCCGGAGGAACGACGTACGCGAAATGGGTCATGGACGAAAATGGTGTAATGCCCATAAGCGTCCTGGCTCCGTCATCACCGTCCTGCGAAATCGTCCACCAGCTACATGCCGCCACGGCCGAATTCGTACAATTCGGCCGTACAGTAATCGCGCGGAACGCCGTGGCGTTCAGGTTGAACTTGCCGTACGAGCATTGCGTGTACTTTTGCGCGACGCCGCCGGTGCCATCACCGTTGGGCCCCAGGAAAATGGAGCGTGCGGCGGCTTCCGTGAGTGAAGCCGGGAATCCGCAAGCGGAGTAGTCCAGGATGACCACAAGCAGTCGCTGGTAGACTATGCTCGCTTCAGGCGGGAGAGCCGGCAGGGGAGACACGACAAAGGTGCTATCCGAGCTGACCGGATTGCATACGCCGAATGGGGTAATGTAGCAGGTCTGCGAGGTGGGGCAACCATTGGGGAGAGAGGCGCGGTGAGGGCGGAAGGGGCGGGAGTTCGCGTCCTAGTTGTCTGTCCGGCTTATTAGCCAGACAGCGCACCGTCTGTGGCATCTAATAGCAGTAACAATGGCATCTAGCAGCAGCACTACTGACATCACCAGCATCACTAGCGTTAAGTAGCAACCGTGCTGTTGCCGCTTCTGGAGGTTGTGCCTTGTGCATATGTGTGTGGGAGGGAGGGCCTGTAATTCCCCAATTGATAATCATGGCCCTTTCATGTCGCTTCCCGTTTAGAGCCTGCTTACATCCTATAGCCCCAGGGCAGTAGTTCTCCCTGTAATCCGCGTTTCGGAGCGCCATTATAGCGTCATTCATTCATTCATCTAAGCCCTAAGACGATCTGATGGCAAACCCTCAAACCCAGCGGCCCTGGCTGTGCACTATACTTGCCATGAGGTGCGCGTACGATACGTGTCATGAAAGCAGTACGGCACATGTGCGGAGAGCTAAGTCGTGCGCATTTATTTCTATCTGCGCTCTGCCTACTAGGCATGGCGTGGACCTCAAGAAGAGATCACAGGTTCGATCCCCTGATTATCTCGGATTTGCCGGGTTTCAGAGTTCTCTGTGGAGTGTCCAAGACCTGGAAGAGCAGCCTAGCCGACTGACTGAGCGAGCGGTCAACTCACTATGATCACCACTGCGCCTGGCAACACTGTCCGGCCGAACGAATCAGTCTTGGGGGGCTCGTAACCAACGGCGATGGGAGTCAAGGAGCCGTCAATGTTACGAAGGACCCACTGCTGGTCCACCTCATGTGTATCAATGAACATGAGCTCTCCAGACAACTGGACAGGTTCCACCGGCGTGATATCAATGACGTTGGTGTCATAAGCATCCTCTGAACCATTAGTTATCTGAGAATATCCTGTGAGAAAACAAATAAATTTGCAGCCACGGGACGGGTGGGGCCAGCTTTACTCTTTAGCAATGCCAATTGTCGCGATAACAGCGGGGTGGCGCTGGCCGTACATGTTTGGAAAGCGCTGGCTAGTAGCTGCAATTTTTTATGGATAGCCAAAGGGCACGGCGCTTTATGAAACTGATATTACCACAGCAACTTTGTCGCTCATCGTCGTTTCGTTACAGGTTAACAGATTTGCCATATCGCAAGCAATCTGCATCTTGGCTAGAATGAAGCCACAGAAGGTAGAGAATAATATGTACAATCTGTCCGGAACAAACCCACGAATATGTAATGCGGATGGGCTTAGCCTAGGTTGCTCCCGTTGCCTGACCCTTGCCCTACCTCCTGTCGCTATCAAAAGCAGCAGGAGTGGAAGCGCCACGCGCCACATGGCGCCTCCAGTACACACAAGGAGCAACACTCTTGCCTCCTGGAGGACGGTTGCACCCTGCGACACCCGGCAAATAGCATCTTAGGTCCCGACTTGGAAGGACAGGCTATCCATACATACAAGGGCCCGGCAAAAGTTATAGATGAAGTTAACATGATCATGTAATCTACTTAATTTCTTCTGGAGATGAATGAACCGATACCTGGAGACCGAACGGACGATTGCCCACCACTCACGTCTCCTACATCCACATGGAAAAGCTAGGAGCTATAAGTGTTTGAGTGATTATCTCTGAGCTTAATGGCTTCATTAAAGCATAGCCTATATATCAGAGTTAGGTACGGCGGGCGGCTTTCCCAGCAGCTTCCTATTGTGCAGCTCAAATGAGCGGCCTTGCGGGGAGGCCGTTGTGCCGAAAATTGTTTTGGCTTTTCCGACATCTTTCATTTAATAACAGCGATAAAAGCCTTTGGTTCCGAATGTGCCCTGCCCGACTTCGTAAGCCGTACGGCATCACGTAACAAACAGAACGATGCACATTAGACTCTGAAAAAAGGATTACGAATAATGTTAATCTTGATTAATGCTAAATCGTGGTGGATGCTTTATCAGACTGCGTATGACAAAGGCTGCAACTGTTCCGCTGAAGCGCTGCCACCCGCCAGCCATGCTGCATAATTGCACAAGCTGACCGTTACTACTCCCTGTCCCCACAACCGATTACATCACCTGTGCTTTAGCCTAGCTGAATGCAGCTTTAGTAACCATGCCAAATATCCACTTTGGTACATTGGAAGCCTGCATAATTTAAAGTTTCTAAAATGAAATTATTTTTTGATGAGTTATCCTTACAGTCACACGCAATATGGGCGCGCATGTGTCCCGATGTCAGCCTGAGTGCTCTGTGGCAGGCGGGCCATCGTCGAGCCCCTCAGGCCCACACAGCACAAAATTAGCAAGAAGCTTACTCATTGAAAAGCTGTTAGATGTCTAATGTGTTTGAAGTAGCAACATGCTAAGGCCGGCAAAGCCCATCGCTCTGTTTCTCGGACAGCCCTGCGGCACCTTCTCCACCGAGCCCTCCCGTGGCCACGCCATGATGGCCCGCCAGCGCCTGTTCCGCCTCACGCGCGGAGCTAATGTCTGCACGTCCGTGCCATCCAGGCGTTTGATCACAGTCCTGCGCCTCCGAGTTGCCGACATGTCGCCAACACAATCAGCCCTCCCCACATTGCCAAAATAGGGATTCTCACGCATCCATACCTCAGCGCGACAGAGACGAATGCGGGATACATCGGTCGCAACAATTTTAGAGTTTTCGCACCTCACCGAGGCCACACAGCTATTCGTTGCGTGCGCCAACACACAATTTGCATGCATGCATTTCGCATGTGCTTTGCGCAATGCGCAAAGAGAGTGTCGCAACAGACCCAGTTGGTGCCGCGGCGCGAAAGGCCCTCGGCTGCCCGCCGTAGGCCTCCGAGGGCTGAAGAAGGGAAATGTTTCGGACCTACCAGCTTGCAATTACCTAGCAATTGCCGCCAAATTTTGAATCTGCCCAGTAAAATCCTGGATGTAGTTCAGTCGATGGAATTACAATTTACCTCGGCACGCATGAACAGTGACATTTGAAGTATGATTTTTTTATTTATTTAACTGGTTGACCAATGTTGACCTGGCCAACCCCATCGCTAATCCACGAGCCTTGCAACGTACGAAGCCCTTCCTCGTCTTCTTCTGTTCTTCGTGTTAGAATCAGCAGAGCGTCGGACCCCCTCGGGTCCTATTACTGCTGTCTCCATTCACTGGTATATGGGCGTCGGTCACTTTCCGAAACTCCGGACGTGTCAATTTTCAGTATATTAAGGGGTCATGGTGCACATGACCGAGCGAGAATGCTCTCATTTAAGCAGTAGGTTGATGCGTTCACATAGGAAGGCGGGGCGCCGTCTCAAAGGTCTGGACATGAACAAAATACCTTAAGGCCAAGCCAGTTTCGGTTGCCGCAACCTGTGCCAGAACATCTTTTCATTTGCTTTTTTCCCAATAGCACAGAAGGCCGTTCCCTAAACCAACGGCTGCCCGCAGCGGCCACACCCCGCCAGTGTTTCGAAAGCAAAATCCTTGAGCACATGTTAAGCAAATATGTATACCGAAGCAAATACACGTTTAAGAGGTGTGAAAGGTTGCCGTCTGTAAGCTTTTCTCCGCTGGCGGGCGCGCGGTATATCCGGCCACGGCCGATCCGTGGTCAGCTGCGGGCAGGTAGCCACTGCTCAGCTCCCCCCATGCACATTGGCACGCGTGCAGCCAAATCATCCAATGCATCAGCAAACCGATATTGCGACACCCAAGGCGTTCCACTTGGCGGCCAGCCAGCTTGCCTGTCGCCCGGCGTATCGATGTGCTTGCTTGCTTTCAGCATCTGCTGCGTCCACAGCAATTCGCTATATGCTTTACTTTACTACGAAGAAATCCGGGAAGAACTAAAAGAAAGGTATGGGGCCCCCTACGCAGAGGTACCTCAATACCTGCGGCAGGCAGCCTTTACCAGGGCATTAACATAGGGGCGCTTGGCAACCAGCAATCTCAAATCATGTTCACATGTTATGCTAATAGCCGATCACCATGTAACACACACACACACACAAATAGCCGATCAATCTGCGTTAGGTGGTGCTACAGTGCGCAACAAACAAGCAGCGGGTGGAGATCCTCCTCAAGCAGCGAATGATCAGCAGCACTAAGGCGTGCCGCTGTGCTTGAACATCCCCCTATACACTGGCTGCGGACGAGCATGGGACCGAGCGAGGGAGCCACAGCCAAGGGTACGCTTGAAAAACCGTCCGGCTCCAATTCCCCGTGAGGCTCTTGACAAAACCAGCATTCGCCGACCACTGAGCCACTGAGCCGAAAATTACCATCACTACGTGGACTGGCGGCAGCGCAGATGGGGGCAGACAGCGTTGCGGGGAATGGCTTGCGCCCCGTTGCATTTCCAGACCACCTGCTGCCGGGGGGAAGCGCCTTGCAGCCGTGCAACGGCTTTGGTTGACATTAGGGATAACGGGCAGCGGCTTGCTTTTTTAAATAATACATCCGTCTTTAAGTCTAGTGTTGTACGTGATTGGTCTATGAACGGATGCAACCCCCCACCAAAGACTATCAAGGCTACTTGGCAAGTCCAAATCCGTACACATGCCGCGTACCAAGGCTGTGTCACACTTCGCTGGTTGGCATGTGGCTGGGGTGAAAACAGGTGGCTAGTTGGGTACATATCTATGTGCCTAGGTGGTGCCTGCGTGGGTGGGTAGGCCACGATTGCCCGAGCGTTGGAGGGTAAACTGGATGATGCTGTCCACTACGCCTACGGGACAAGGTATAACATGCCCATCCATCAATGTCTTGTCAAGGGCCTCGTGCAAATTTATTTTACGGCTTACAGTATCTCAGCATCTAGCTGCATGCGTATTCAGCTCTTCTACTTTCAGCTCAACCTGTCACGCGTTTTTTGCTTTTACGTTCTTACCACATTGTTCGACTTCTGCTTCGCCAAGAACGGCCCAGAGGGTGGGCGCCGCCGGAAATTTCTTTCCTTTTTTCCCTTCCTTTAGAATCTTTCCTTTTAACATTTTTTTTATTTTTTATTATGCCATTTGCGCGTCAATCTTCATAAATCTCACCAAGCATAGCACTGGAGCATGAGCCGTTTTGTGTGTAGTTGCCGTAGATGGAACGGAGGGGTCCCCTTGCCGTAGATGGAACGGAGGGGACAATCTGGCATCTGGGCCGCAGCAGTCCCCCAACGCAGACCCGGGGTCCTGCTACCCGTCTGCGGTTCTGAAGGAAGACGGCTCCGGTTGACGTCCGTTGCAAACCAGAGGTCTGCTTCTCATGCATCTATACATACCTGGCAGATCATGCCACTCACACCTGCCGTGTGTCATACAGGCCCTGTTGCATCACTTGATGCCCACCCACGTTACGTCCCGGCCAGCATGCTTGTGAACCAGGGGGCCGGGTCGGTTGCCCAGCGCTCGGTTGGGAGGTGGGGCGGGTCCTTTTTCAGCTCCAGAACCATCAGGGCCCCACATCAGGGCCTCACATCAGGCGATCGGAAGGTGTGCCTAACCCTAGCCGCAGCTGAGTGGGAAAAAAGGGGAAAGAACTAAAGACGCGCGTAGTTGTAATCTGAAGCCCTCCGGGAGTTGCGGTAGCCGGGGGAATGATTTCGCCTGAAGCGCAGCAGTGCATGTTCTAAAATTTGATATGTATTATGATATTAAGTTAAAGGAGAAGTGCTACGGTCAACGTGCGTTCTGTTGCGTCATGCCGCTGTGCTGCTGCAGGCAGGTAGTTGCAGGCCCGCTTCGGCGGGCCGTACTTGCAAACCTGCTGTTGGGCCTTGGGAGTTCACAGGGTGCTACAGTTATTATCACATGTTTACTGCAATAGTGTTGTGGCCCTTGAGAGAGACATTGGCACCCTGTCGAGCCCGTCGTACCATTCGTTTGCCGGAGCACCTGGCGGTACTATTTATAAGCAACGATGCATCAATGAGCTACTATAACTAAATTAATCTTATCTAAGTACGTGCACAAGCTGCATACATCTGCTGAACTTCCAGCGCGTGGCCATGGCTTGTCATAGTCTTTAGCGAGGTTGCGGGAGGAGCCAACCTCTACCTGTGACACTTAATCTGGTCTGAAGCTATTACGAGGAGGAATACAGGGACAGGCTTCTCCAGCAAGTGTTGTCATGTGGCAGAAGGCGCTTCCGACGCTTTTGCTGCTCGTCGCGGCCGCGCAGGGTGAGCCGACGTCATGTTCCTCAAATCTTTCCCGATGTACACATGACATATATAAATATCAAGACCTTTTTTTTACCTGCGTACGTCATAAGCCCACATCTTGAGGCGTCGCGCCTTTGGTTATTATCGTAAAGCCAGGTGCTTAATTCCAGTTAATGCCGGAATGAGACCGTTTTCCCCCAAGTTTGCGATACATAGAGCTTAATTCTTGATTATCAATGCCTATAACTGACGTTTTATATTTGTAGCCATCAGCCGTTACTAGCTATGAACCTGGCGGCTTCCCCCTCTGCTCCGTTTCACATGGATGGACTCTGCAGTTGCGCGAGGGGCTCCAGGCCCATCAAGCAATGCTCCAGGCCAATCAAGCAATGCTCCAGGTCAAATCAAGAAGCAAACTTTGCAAGGTCAGATGGCTTACGTCACTCTGGATAATGGCGAAGAGCAGTGGGCTATTGTCAACGATCAAGACAAGAAGGTCACACCCCTTACAAAGGGCTACAAGCCACCCAAGGACAAGGACAAGGATAAAAAGGATAAGGATTTCGAGCCCGGAACGGTTGTAAGCTTGGTAAGTGGCACATTTATGGCTTATATAGCTCGTCCATGGAATTCAATTCCAGCGGCAGACACCATATTGCAACATGAACCGCCATGCACGTGCAGAATCACCTGGAAAAACAACACTCGCTAGTGTCCCCCTTTGCCACTCGTGCCAGGAGCACCTATGCGTTAACACAGGTGCTAAGCTTTGGCATGTGAACCATGATGCATCCACAGGACTGTGACATCGATGCTAGCGGCACTTGCACACCGTCGGCGGGCGCCACAACAAATATTGTGGCAGCAGTGCCGGCGATTACCCCTGTAGTCTACCAGCGGCTGTTGGTCATCATCCTGAACTACTCGAGCTGCGGCTATTCCGCGACAGCCACGGAGGATGCAGTACGCAGCGTCTTCCTGGGGCCAAACGGTGATGGCACCGGTGGCGTTGCGCAAAAGTACACGCAATGCTCGTACGGCAAGTTCAACCTTAACACTACGGCATTCCAGACGGTGGTCGTCTACCCGGCCTGCTCCACCGCTGCCACAGCTCAATGCAGCTGGTGGACTCTTTCCAATGATGGCGACACGGCTGCCAAGGCCGTACTGGGTACCACTGCTTTCAGCGGTTTCACCCACTATGCCTACGTCGTACCGCCCGGAATCCCATGCGGCTGGGCGGGGTTGGCTCTGCTGCCAGGAAAACAGATCTGGCTGGCAACCATGAATTACGGTGTATACCGTTGGGCTACGATCATGCAGGAGGCCATCCACAACTATGGTGAGGTTTGACCTTGTGTTCTAGGACAATACAGCCGTTATGCTGCTTAACATGGCGCCCATGTATGGTGGCTTGCTAGGCTATCCTTAATCTGAATTTCCAAGGGTCTGCCTGCCCATCCCAAGTTTGCTTCCCTTGCAAGTGCCATAGTATGCTGAGGTCCCTTGGTCCTTGAGGTGTACAAGGGCCCAGTAGATCCCAAAGGCACGGCAACTTTGAACTGCAGTGCTTGCTAAAGGATGCGCAATTAAATTCCTGCGTGTACTGTCCTCCTGCGTCCATGCCCACAGGTCTGTGGCACTCCTGGCAGAACGGCTGGGAGTACGAGGACTACTCGACCGCCATGGGCCGTGGTGACGCCTGCCCCAACGCCGCCGAGATCTCTCGCATGGGCTGGGCCACACCCGCACCAGGCGGCGGGGCCATCAGCTCTGCTTCGTTTGCTCCAGGTTCCGCACTTGCCTTTGCCCTGCCCGCCACCTACCTCACTGGCGACGGCAACTACCTGCGAGTGGTGCCCGACTGGCTGCCCACCTACAGCAACAACACGCTTGCTAAGAACCTCTACATCGCCGTGAGGGTTCCCAAGAGTGGCGATGCCGCCCTTACCGCCACATACTCACCCAAGCTCAACATTCACGAAGTCAATGCAACTATGGTGAGCACTGTACGCTGTGTGGTTCCGTGGTTATGGATGGGTAGGTGAGCAAATCGGTAGGTGGGGGAAGGAATGAGTGGCTCGACAGGCAAGTGAAATGTGTTGTACCCACTTCCACTGTTTATATGGTAGTGAAAACAACAAAATGTGCCATTTTTACAATATCTCTTGGGCCCACACCTGGCTCGTATGGGCACTCGTTACACCTCTCTATCTGGGTAAGGCAACCTGGAGGTGTAACACACACACAGCTACACACACACACACACACATCTGTACACACACACACATCTGCACACACACACACACACATCTGCACACAATGTCGTTTTCGCACTGCGCGCGCGTTCTGACTGTCATACTGCCCATCTTCCTTGCAGGACAATGCTTACCCAGCCTCATACCAAAACAGCGACCGCAAGATCTCTTTCGTCCGGGCAATCTCCTCCACTGTAAGGGCCAATTTGACAGCCTACCAGCTGGTGGTTTACGCGGCATCCTGGGTGGGCCCAGACACTTTGCGTGTCTACCTCTGCCGATACGATGTCTCGCCGGATGAGTGCCCCCCACTTTCCGTGCTTGAGACGCTCCCATCGGCGCCGCCGAGCCCGCCTCCCCCCAGCCCGCCGCCGCCACGACCACCGCCCCCGAGCCCCGTGCCGCCCACCCCGCCGCCGAGCCCACGGCCGCCTCCAAGTCCGCGACCGCCCAACCCACCCCCCAGGCCGCCGTCGCCCAGGCCGCCGCCCAGGCCGCCACCAAGGCCGCCGTCACCCAGGCCGCCACCCCCTGACCCGTCACCCCCGCCGCCGAGCCCACCATCACCTCCGACGTCGCCGAGCCCTCCAGATCCTGCATGGCCTAACTTGCCAACAAGCCCTGACCCGCCAAGCCCCAATCCGCCAAGCCCTGACCCGCCAAGCCCCGATCCGCCAAGCGCACCGCCGCCAAGCCCTCCACCTCCAAGCCCACCGCCGCCAAACCCTCCACCACCAAGCCCACCGCCGCCAAACCCTCCACCGCCAAGCCCACCACCGCCAAGCCCTCCACCGCCAAGCCCACCGCCTCCTAACCCACCACCGCCAAGCCCGCCGCCGCCTAGTCCACGGCCGCCGACGCCCCCACCGCCAAGCCCACCGCCACCCCGGCCTCCGCCTCGTCCCCCACCAACGCGTCGGTCGCCGCCACCGACATCGTCACCACCGCCGCCGGTAGCGGTGAGTTGCTAGTCTGCTGGACCGCTTGTGAAGCAATAAAAACCATAGTAAAACTCACTCCATGCAAATATTCTCTTACGAATGCCGCTGTCAACTCCTGGGAGGGCAGGGGGAATGTTTGCCGCATGTAAGGGGGGTTGTCTGCGGACACTTTATTTAGTTCTTGACAAGCGACACCTGCGCATCGTGCGTGTGTGGAAGTGCGTGTGGAAGTGCGACGCATTACGTTGTTTCCCAACCTTACCATCAATCCCGTCCACGCACACTTTCCTGAGAAAGTGCGACGGTCTGCAGCATGAAAGTCCTTTGCCTTACTGGCTGCCAGCCCGCTTCCTTACCTGTCCTCTTGCACATGCTTGCGTATGGCTTAACCTACCCTCGTGATTCTCTCATTCATTCCCCTCACGTTCGCGCTCGCGCCTTTGTCCTCTAGGCGTTTATCGGTGGCGACAGCTCAACGGTAGCCGCGTCAGACCAGCCCCCGCTTCAGCGCCGCCGACTGCACCAGTAAAGTGCACACTGCCGCAGCAGCAGGGCGGACTTGCGAAAGGCAAGGAAGAAATCAACGTACGTCGATTCCTTGGAAGAACCGACGCTGGGGAAGTTGGGGTTTGCCAGCTTGCTCGTGCTGTGCCACCACTATGCTGGTTCAATAGCGAACGCGATCAGTCCTGTAATGCAGCCTGAGAAGCCGGCAGCCATTGCGCCGTGGGGCCAATCCAAGGAGATATTGGCAATGAAGAGAAGTAAGAGAGAGCGAGAACGGGCACCACGCAACACATGTGGTGGCGATGCTGTATGCACGTATTGTTTGCTGCTTTCATTTTGTGCATACTTCGTACAGCGCAAGCAGGTCGACCGGAGTACAGTAATCCTACAACAGTAATCCGGATACAGCGAACAGCTGATACGGCCGCAATCGAGTAATGAATCGGGCTCGCGTGACAGGTGACGGTTCGGTTATTACGCATCGAAACCTGTCATACGGGGGTTGGGTAGGCAGCACAACCGACCGCGCTAGGAACGGGACCGTGCGCGCTCCCTAGGAACCCCGAAGGCACACGTGGGGAGAGCGGGGTGAGGGTAGAAGGCTGTCTGGCCCCGCGTCCACCAAGAGGGACTACTCCGAACTCAGGACGCGCATACATGTGCGTTCAACACTCCCATGCAGTTTGCCGCGACCTTTGTTTCTGCTGAAGTAACAGTTCACTACTCGGATGAGAGTATGAGGGAGCCGCACCTCCATGCGTATGTATCGTATGTATGTAAATTTATGCTGCATCAATTTCCAGAACTCCAGGTACCGTGTGGGTAGTAGGCTGTGATCATGTTGCGAGAATGTACGGCGTTACGGCAGTGGATCTAACTGGGTTACCCGTGCTGCGTTTTGGGGGTATTCCACCACTCATTCGCATGGCGATGACAAAGGCAGCGTAAGCCACACGGTAGTCCTGCGTTTATCAGTTACACACACTCGTGTTCAGCTGCTTGCTAGCAGTCGGGTTGCAATGTGGGTTGAATCGTGCCGTACACCCGAAGACGGTGCCAGCATCGTATGTATTGGCCAGGGAAGCTCTGCGCACGAATTTTCAGTAAGCATTCTGTGGACCAAGCTTGCCAGCGTGTGGTGCACGCCGTAGAGCTTCCCGCATTACTTCATTCTTCCATGTCGTACGTTGTTGCATAGAAGTCGCAGTGGGCACGAGGAAGCCGGGTGGCAAAAAGGTACATGATGGCTTCCCGGAATGTTTCGTCGCAACAGGTGAATTGTCTTTATCTCTACTTAGCTTAAGGCAATCATCGGTGCCCTGGGTTTTCATAATCATAACTCGGGATGGAGCTCTCCTAGCTAGGCTTCGTTCCGAGCAGTATAATAGCTGGTAGGCTCACGGGACGGTGATTACACATGTAATGCGCCGCTCCCTTTAACTGCTTGATAGCTTATTTGCTTGCTCTCCAATGTGTTGTGGCCGTGGAGTACAGCAAGGGCGGTGATTAAGGCCAGGCAGTACTTTTAGGGGACTGTAACAGTAAGTATTGTTTACCGGCCCGCATGTAACCCCAGGCGGTGTATGTACGTGGCCATGCACACATCAGTTGTTGTCTAGTGGGATATTCCAATATGGCCAAGTGCACCGAAGCGTGGGGCAAAATAATTCATCGATCTATTGTATTACGTGGTTCGGGCTGTAACAACGCCTGCTCTATCTTCCGAATTCCTCTGGAGTCCCCGAGCCTGCAAGGAGAGGTAAATGCCATATATGCACCTTCCGCAACCTCATTCCATTCATATTTTGGTTTTCAACAAAGGAAGCAAGCATCTCCATCCCAGCTCAAGCAGTCTCTCAGATGCAGGCCTGTCTCCCAGGGCTGCGCCTAAGCAGGGGTACATGGGTAGCAGCAGTACAAGTTTGAGTAACGAAATGACAGTCCCTTGAATACAAGGAGGTACAGCAGCAGGACGAGTTAAGAGGCCTTATACTACCTGTTGTACATGCACTCATGCCTGCATTAAAGCCAGGGGAACCATCGGCAAGGGGCAGGTAACAGTGCCGGGTCGGTCTTCATGGCTGCAGCCATATATCGCTGCCCGTGCTCCATAGCTGACACCGCAACAAGAGCCACAACATCCCAAACACATTGTTGCACTGTTTGTGGAGCTTGGACGAGCCACAGTTGTTCGCGTGGCACTGGCAATCCCACTGACAGATTGAGTTGGTCCGCTACTGCCTGTGCCACCGGACAGGCCTAAAAGTACTTCTAGTGATGACAGCGAGAGGATACACCTCCCAGGGTATGGGCTACTCGACGAGCCACAGAAAGTAGCGAAAGTTGCATATGAGTCGCTAATTCAACCAATCAATGCAGCCCTGAAGTCTGATGGGGGCCCCTGCACCCCTCCCTGTTGTTCGACCGCTGTAGCCCAGGAATGTCACTAGGGTCACACACAGACCTGCGATAATAATGCCCCGGACCCGAGAAGTGGAGCATACTACACTAACGATGCGAGCTAGCCTCCAGCATAAAGGCATTGGAAAGGCATTAGAGCCCGTCACAGAGTAGGCCGTGTGGGACATAGGACGTAGGACTCCTGATGTTGCCCATGTGTAGGATGCGGACTTAAATGCCAGGCCTCGGCGGGCTGTGGCCTTTACGCCGTCACACTGGGGCGCCCATCAACGCAGGCCATACATATCAAATACACGCAGAAGTGGAATGATCTAGCTCCCAGCCAAGTAGCCAAGTAGCTTGCACGCTGTTACACAGCCACGCAGGCACGTTTGCCCATGCAAAAGGGGCAAATTGCCCCGCGTTGGGACTCCGTATTAGTGGTTAGCAGAGAAGTCCCGAAGTACGTGCTGAAGTACAAATTCGGCTGCAGCGCCAACAGGCATGAAGGTTGCCTTGTAGCAATGTGGCCATACAACATCTTAGCAGAGATACACCTACTGTGTCTAGCAGGAATACCTACTGTGTGTAGAGTATCCTGGGCATCACGGGACAGCACGGGATCTGCATCCGCCGACCGGTACTTCTCTGAAGCCGTGATATAAAAATTGGTATCGAGCAGGTATCTCCGTTCCGACCTGAATTTGAATTTGAGTTTAAGCGGTTTTTGCTGAGCGGGAAGCGCGGCGAGTTGGCCAACTGCCTCACCGGCTTAAGCACCATCAGGTGGTCTATAGTTCAAATGAAGCACGCGAGCCATCGGGACGACACATAATTCCGGCAACCACATCTATCATGTTTGCTCCGGCTCACCGCTGGCGTTCCCCGTATCAATCGATTGCTCAAAACCAGGCGACACCTTGGTGGCGGGCCCCGCGACCGTTGGTTACCTTGTGGGTACTGCCACCACACTGGGCCCTGTGGTAGGCTAAAAGGGTCGAGGTCGCCCTCTACAGTTGGAAGGGGGATACTTGTAGTATCCGGGGCATACCACAGAATCTGCATCCGCCGACTGGTACTTTTCTGAAGTCATGATGTAATAACACCTGCTATTTATTTTTCATCCATTTCTCAGGTCTTCTGCTATAGTTTATGCCTGGAAAACTTCACAGGAATTCCGTCCGCGAGCCATCCTATTTATGCGTAGGATGCGCGCGTGTGACATGGCAACCCCGATCCGAATGCGCGTGTAGCGGCAAATGTTAGTTGGTTATGGGGTGATCGGGATGCGGTTCAATGCAGTCGTTGCGCCCTAATGGAGTAGCAAGCAGAACATGGATTGGCAAAAGACGGCCATAGCGTCCGGTAGCTTCGTGCTATTGTCGTACAGTTGGCGTAATCCCCAAGGAGGTATGCGTAATCCGGAACGTAATCGGAAGCTGATTAACGTAATCTGGAAGGTGGCTTACGTAATCTGGAAGCTAGCATGCGTACGGAAAGTTGTATGAATGGTGGGCGCACTGATAGTATAAAAGGCGAGGCCGAACCGCCTGTTGTAGATTGAATCCGACCGGGCAAATAAGCGCCGAGTCAGGCTATCCTCACAAATATTTCAGATAACTGGCTCCACTGGCGACTGTGTCCCTTGTCTCTCATCACGGGCACCCCTTCTATAGGTACATCCCCAAAGTAACTCCAAATTCAAGGACTAACCCCTTTCTCCCTCTCCCTCCGCGTTCTGCACTACTGTGGAAAAAATTATTACAAGACTACGAAATCCCGAAACTGGGCTAATAGCCTTAGCGTGTTACTCTATCCCACTAAGTATCTGTCTGGACACTTAAGCCTCTGATCGTTACGCTGTCGTACTCGATAACATCTCGATCAAATATTCGGCAATACATATAACGTCCATGGGGCCCCCCCGGCTTTTACGGACACCCCCGCACTTGTGTGCGGAACTTGTAATTTGTAACTTAATGGGACTTAATCAATAGGGACTCCGGGCGCCCGCCGTGTCCACCCAGAGGTCCATACGTACGCGAAAACGTGGGGGTTTCCTGTAGGGCCTGCGGCCCGGCCGCACCGCTACACGGTTTACCGCCCCACGGACTGCAGTAACGTTGGTAAACTGTGATTGCGACCGTGTCTTGACTCTTGAGAACTACAGATACCTATTGCCAACATGCCGGAAATAAGGAAAATTTCCAGGATGTTAATAAGCTGGCCTTCCATTTTTTCAAGTGTTCAACGGCCGAAACCGCGCAACCAGACAGTAATCCCAAGTAATCCGTGGGAGGTGAATAGCAGGAGGTCCCATTTCCCTATCACGTAATAAGACGCCGCAAAGGAGGGATAAGGGCACGTGGCTCGCACGCGGATATCATAGTCAAACGTAGGATGACTGCCGTTGGCTGCAGGACGGTGCGGCGCCTGCACATCCTGCCGGTCTGACAAGCTGCCAACAGTTACGGCCTGAGTACAGCGCGTGCAAGCGAGTTATGTTTTGCAGTGCAGCCAATGTCTGTGCTTTGAGACCAAAGACCTGCATGGGCATGGGATGGGGGTTGCGGTGCAAAGGAAGAGTCGAAACAGTCAGTGCTTGCATCACGTCCACGCTTCTCTCGCGGCTGCTGTAATTGGGACAGGAATGGAGGTATCGTGGGGCAGCGACTTGAACAATTGTACTTAATATTATTTGATAACTCTCTGTTTAAAAGCAGATCATTATGCTATTTTAATGCTGAGAGAACTTCAAGCATTTTCTATGCCTGGACTCCTTAACATAGTCTCCGCCCGCCTCGGCCGAAACTATTTGCGAGGCGCCAATCTGGGATGTTGCATATTGTTGCGTTTCCTGCTCACCGTTTCTTTTATTTTCATTTCAGTAGTGTATGATACTTTGCTTGCTTTCCGGGCAGGTCTTGTATTTCTTCGTAAGAACACTTGCGAGATGCATGCGTCGCCAGATGCGATGTAAAAGTTTTGGATATTCAACCATGACCTATCTTAATGAGTGCACGTGGCGGATTCAGGGGCCATTGTTTGTCTAGTTAGTTTTCCAGATACTGGTGGGAAGGTGCTTGGAAACTTAGCACGAAAACCTTCTGCTTGGCAGAAAGCGTAATGGATGCCCGCGGGCCCTGCCACAGACCGACAGTAACCCAAGCTCAATTAGAGCTGCCGTACTAAGGTGAAGCGAGCGGATAGGGAGAACTAGGAAGGGCATCGCGGCTCAAATTTAACAGCTTGAGTTCGACGACGTGGAGGACTGCACTGAAGGACGCTAAACACATTTAATTATAAATGCATTTACCTGAAGCCAGCACCCGTTGCTGTCGAACACCGATGCTGACAGGTGCTACATTCCTGTCGTACAATGTCGGCTGCATAAAGACTTCTGCGACTTATGGATGTCACAAACTAGATTTTTAAGGAATCTGTTAAAAATGAATTTATGTACCTGAATACTTGTCCTTTCGTGTTATAGACGGAACCGGTCCTTGGTGCTTACACAACATTGATGCTCGCAGTGAGTGCTTAGTTTAAAGGATGATGCAACAAGCGTTTTTGGTGCTTCTTATATTTACAGCTACGCAAGGTAGGATGCTGCGTAACTGCGCAAGCTGCAGTCACGCGTAGTTTCTGAAAGCCGGGACATCGTGCCGATGGATATTGCCACGAAGAAGAAGAAAAAGAAGCGTGATTCATACATAATACGCCACAATAGCCGGTGCCGGTACCGAGTACTATGCTGTTGACAATGGCTGCCAGGGTTATGGTGGTTGGACACACAAGTGGTGCCGCTCATACTCCTTCACATGCCATGGCTGCAACACTCAAGCACTCCGCCGAGACGTTGCTTAAAATTAATCTTTGGATGATTATCACTTCTTTGCCTGGATCGCGAGATCAGCTCCATCTTGGCCTCCACCTTCCCAACCACTACACACCTGCCTACCAGGATCCCTTCGTCCTCTCCGCCCCGCCCCCGCCCTGCCAAACAGTCATTCCCTCAAAATCGTCTAAGGAGACGACGCTGGGACTACTTTCAAAGCTGCAGAACTTGCAGGGCGAGCTGGTGTTTGTGACGCTGGATGACGGAAGTGAACAGTGGGCTATTCGAGATGCAGACGGCAAAATCACTCCGGTGAACAGGAAGGCCTTCAAGGCGCCCAAGAAGGCCAGGAACGGCAAGGACGATTTCCAGTCAGGAACTTCTGTCAGCCTGGTGGGTTCTCCAGCCCGCAACCAACTCGCTGGTTGCTTTATTTCCAAATCCACACCATGAATTTATGCGCACGCTGCAAATCTCCGAGGTGCATAGAGTATGTGCGTGTTTCCCCTGAAAACGCACCGTGCGGATTTTCCGACCGCCAAGCCGCGTCAGTTTGCTACCTTGTAAGCTAGCTAGGTGGAAAATAATCTGTATGATGCGACCTTTGTTTGTCCCTTCGCCTTCGTTAGTCCTTCGTTAGTACGGCATAGCAGTGCTGGGGTGCGATTTGATCCCTGTGGTACACAAGGTCGTCCAGGTCGTCCAGGTCGTCGAAAAACAAAATTGTTCGTCTTCGGCTGCTTGCCTGACTCATCCCCGTTGGTACCCTGCTCCTTAGCGTTTACCTATGTTTTACCCTAAGTAAAACCCTAGGTATCAATGCTCATCCTCCATGTCGGCCTACAGCATCCCTTTGCTGCAAGCGAGTGTGGCCGGCCTGCCCCCCCATCAAGCAGCTCATCGGGGCTCTACCTGATGTCTGAGAGTACTCGTGTCATAGCCTGACACTCGTCCAACGTATTTCGCCTAAATGTGCGCAGGACTGTGAGATCGATGACAGCGGCCTGTGTACCCCAGTTGCTGCTGATGGAGCAACCGTCGTTGGTTTTGCGCCGACAGCCTTCATTGTCGACACAAACACCCCAGCCATTTACCAACGCGTTCTTGTCATGATTCTCGATTACACCATTTGCGGATTCCCAGCGGGCCTCGACGAGTCTACCACACGCTCCCTCTTCCTGGGGCCAAACGGTGATGGCACCGGCGGCATCGCGCAAAAGTACACGCAATGCTCGTACGGCAAGTTTAACCTTAACACCACAGCATTCCGTGCGGTTACCGTGCCCCAAACAAGCTGCTCCACAGCCATCACGGCCACGTGCAGCTGGTGGGCGATTTCGAATAACTGTGATTTAGCGACCAAAGCGTTGATAGGTAATGTGGCGTTTTCCAGCTTCACCCACTACATATACATCGTCCCGCCCGGACTTCCATGCCCCTGGTCGGGGCTGGCACTGCTCCCTGGGAACCAGGTTTGGTTGCAAACCTCTCCCTACGGCGTGTATCGCTGGGCCACTGTCATGCAGGAGGCCCTACACAACTACGGTGAGCAACAAAAACAAGGTTTGAAGCGCGTTTAAAATGCGTGGTGTTCGTCTTAGTCCGGGAGCCTTGTGTTCGTCACAGTCGGGGAGATAGATCACCCGGATGTAAGAGGGATTAGCTCCCCTGGCATCTCCCAACTGAGGGCCTTGTTACCTTGTGAAGCCGTGCATACAAGTGCACCGATGTGACCCACATGGAGGCAGGGCGTCGGCCTCTCAAGATGCTGGCAAAGCACCTTTGCGCGTATTCATGGACGATGTATATGCGATACTGCATGACAGCGACTACCTTAATCCCCCTCTGAAGGGATCCGTCTCGGGCCCTTACGGCCACACATACCACCAGCCTGGGCCTGCCATCTCCTACCCTCAGGCATTAGGTGACCAGCGCATATCACGTCAAGTGCCGGTGCACAGCATATAGCCGTGTTTTATGAGTGCCGTACTGCAAGACAGCTACTACCTACAGCCTCATTCGTTCCAGGCTTTGTATGGCTCAGTGTTGGCTCCGTTTCTAATGTAGGGCTAAGGATTCACTCTAGATAAAGATGACCAACGCTCTGTGCTCGCTCTGTACTTCTTAGCCCATGCCATCCGAGCTGCTGCCTGCTCTCACGTATCTCAACTTCAAGTCATCAGGTCTATGCCAAGTCTAGTGACGCAATGGTGGGCTCCTGAGCCAGAGTCTCTCTCTGGTACATACAGTTCCAGCCCCACCCCGGGTTCTGAATTTCCTCGTTCCCGCTCCTGCTCACTCCCACGACACATATGACCAGAGCTGCGGTACTCCCCCTCCTGACTATTGCTTGTCTACCCGCCCATTCCCTTATGCACGTCCGTGCACCCGCGACATCCCTATCATGCCATGCCCACAGGTCTCTGGCACTCCTGGGCAAACGGTGTTGAATACGCGGACAACTCAACTGCCATGGGCCGTGGAGAAGCTTGTCCTAACGCGGCAGAGATTTCCCGCATGGGCTGGTCCTCTCCTGCGACCGGCGGTGATGCCATCGACTCCACTGCCCTTCCACAGGCTGGGACCGTGCGCTCGTTCGCTCTACCCGCCACCTATCTTACCAGCACAGGCAATTTCTTACGAGTAATGCCCGACTGGCTGCCATCCTACTACACTAACCCGGCCATTGCTAAGAACCTGTACATTGCCGTACGGGTGGCAAAGGGGCCCGATGCTGGGCTGCTGGCCCCATTTGCATCGACCGTCCACGTGCACGAAGCCAACGCCACGATGGTACGGAAGATATGGATGTTAGATGTTAGTTTTGTTTGAGGATTTCCTTCGGGGTCTGAGCAGACGAGGGTTTAGCTGCGGGTTGAAACTAGTGTTAGCCGATACGAGTGAGCCGATAGCGAGTCAACAGAACAGAGGAAGCGGAATGGGTGCGCGCTGTATTACAAGATGTATATCGCATCATATCATGTTGGTGCACACCTAAAGCTAGGCCCGAACTGTGCGCAACCCGCTGCCGGCAGTGGCGACGTGCACGACCTCGACATTCCCCATGTTCTGCCTAAATACATTTGCCCCTCATCCCCCAACAACACAATGGGCAATGGTTGCACCCTGCAAACACGACCGGGCTCTGCCTGTTTCAGACTATCGAAGAAGCCATTGTGCCACTGCCTTGCCAAGCACGGGAGTTTCATTTGAAGGTCATCGTGTATACACACACTGCGATGCAGGATAATGGATATCCAACCCTGTACGCGACTACAGACCGCAAGATCACCATCATCAGCACGATTCCCTCGCTTGGCCGTGCCAACCTCACCGCCTACAATCTGGTGGTGTACGGCGGATCTTGGGCCAGTACGGACACCATGCGGGTGCACCTGTGCCGCTATACCACGTCCCCTTCCGAGTGCCCAGGACTCGGAGCTATCGAGGCTCCACCCCCTAGTCCTCCCCCATCTCCACGGCCCCCACCCAATCCGCGGCCCTCACCACCACCCCGGCCCCCACCTCCAGTGAAGTCGCCTCCACCTAGCCCTCCTCCGTCTCCACCTAGCCCCCCACCGCCTCCACCTAGCCCCCCACCGCCTCCACCTAGCCCCCCTCCGCCTCCACCTAGCCCCCCTCCGCCTCCGCCCAGCCCATTCCACCCAGCCCGGTACCACCAATTGTTTTTGCTTCCAGCCCACGTCCACCAAGCCCACCACTGCCTAGGCTGCCGCCGCCCAGGCCACCACCTCCCATATCATCACCACCCCGCCCACCACCGCCCAGACCACCCCCACCCAGCCCGCGGCCACCCAGCCCATCGCCGCCCCCATCACCGCCCAGCCCATCACCGCCCAGCCCATCGTTACCTCCACCGCCGCCGCCACATCCTCCACCGTCGCCGCCTACGCCTCCACCTCCAAGTCCCCCCACCCCTCCGGAGGCGCCCTGGCCCCCAAGCCCACCACAGCCTCACTTACCACCACCTCCTCCACCACCACCGCCGCCACCTCCCCCACCCAGCCCGGTGCCCCCCAGCCCGCCACCGCCCATGCCGCCGCCCCCAAGTCCACCACCACCTAGCCCTATGCCACCAAGCCCACCTCCCCCCAGCCCGTTTCCCCCCAGCCCGCCACCGCCCAGCCCTCGTCCTCCCAGGTTTCCAGCACCCAGCCCACGACCGCCGCGGCCATCGCCTCCACCGCCCCGTCCTCCACCCAGGCCACGTGCACCGCGTACGGTACGTAAGGACTTCCACACTTTTCGACCCATTGAATAGTACCTAGCAAGCAAGCAAGGATGACCAGTAGGTGACCGTTACATGTCCCAAAGAACGTGTCTTGCACGCCCAGTGGGTACTATGTGTATCTATGTACACAAAAGGGGCGAGATTTCGCACAGCGCCCTTTCACTCTTGCCATTGTACTTTGCATGCGGTTGTATCCCACTGATGACAGATGTGAGGGTCCACAGAGCAGACAGCTGGCTGATTGAGGTGGCCTGCTCGCCTGCCTGTTCCGTGTGATCGTGCATGGAACCCTGCCTGCACGACAGATTAACCCTGCCCTGCGCGCCCTAGGATAGACGTAATAGCTGACCGCTGAAAAGTTGCTGGCAGAGCGCTTTAGCTCGTTTTTATAGACGATTTGTGTACCGTACTGTACGACAGCTACTAGATTAGCCCTGTCTGAGAATTTTTCTCTGCCCCTTGTTTCGCTCCTCCCACAGCCCCCACCGACAAATCGGCGCCTGCGGCTTGGGTGAAGCCGAAAGCAGGAACGCAACTCTAAGCATGAGAGAGGATACGCGAATACAATCGATACTAGCATTTCATAATCAAGTGCCAGAATATGCCTCCCGCACAGCAGGCGTAGGGCTGCAGCTCGGCCATACATGCACATGTCCGTACGCCCGCAAGTCCGCTGTAGCAGCTGTGCGCCGCAACAATCTGACTAATTATGTGTGGGGCCAGCTCATTGGATGGTACTTGTGGCTTCGGGCATCTACCCATTTGGTAGATCAAGGCACAAGCAGGCCTACACCTGGATGAATGAATCCGCTGCCTGTCGGTCACAGTGGATCCATCCAAAACGAGCGCCGGCACATAAGGCCCTGTACAAGTTATCCTTCCGCTTTACATTTTCCATATATTCCTTTAGATATAAAGGCATTATCACAGGTAACTGGTGGGGCCGGGATAGGACGTAACGAACGAATAGAATTGTCCTGCGGTGGCTGGATTCCTGCATTTTTATGCATAGGAAGCTCATAGTATGTACACCCAGCGAAGTTTCGGTAAGCGCAAGGGCAGAAAGCAAGAGGTGCCGCTTTATTACCGTCAATACACTTCAGTATGCATGTGTTCAATCGGCTGGCAGAAGTAGTGAAGGCGGCATCGACCTTGTCAGTGAGTGGAATGCGCCGCTAGCTTGTGATGCATCTGTCGCTCAACAGCAAGCAGACCAAAAGTAGGCTTGCTTTGCGCGTACTGTTGTGTATGGTTGTGTTCTTGAACGATAGACACACGGATAGACGGATAGACACACGGATCGGGCGACGTGGGACGAGGCGTGCAGGGGCTTCAGAACATAAACTTGCGCCTTGATAAGCATGATGTACATAACCAATTTATGGCAGTTCCACACAATTGAGAGGTTGAATGCAGCTTGGTATGGTAGGCTTGTGGAGGGATGCCGGTATGTGTGTCGCATATATGGGCGGCTGCACGCTGCATAACCATACTCGCATCACAGCAGGCAGGGGTGAATGGGATGGCGGGACGCGCCACCAGTGCATGGCGGGGCGGGCGAGTTGCTGGATCTTTAAATGGACGATGGGGCACTTGTTTTTCGGTGTGCATGTTTGCTTGTATGTGGGGAAAACTATACGAGGTGAACCTCGTAATGCCCAGGACCGGTCCAACCAGCATTTGCCATTATGGCTTGGAATGAAGGACGCACTAATTCACGGGCTGTCGTATATGACCTGCGGATTTCAACTTATTTTTCCATACTTTTAAATTCCTTGGCAGCCGTCGACTGGGGGGAAAAGCAGCAGGGGGGGACGGAAGCTGTGCTAGCTTATGGCATCTCCCTATTTCGTTACGTTTGCATGCATGCAACGTATGCAACGTACCGTACCATACATAACTACATACATACCATACGCAACACCTTTTGCTTCGTACAACATGCTTTCAAAACATTAACTCTACGAGTGCTTGGCCGATACATACTGCAGCTGCGGTCGCGCTACAGTGACTATGCCGGCGGGTGCATTGTGTGGAGTGCGTTTTCCAGTTGCTTGCTTGGTGTAGGTCGGGAAATAATTGATCGGGATGTCGCTTGAAGCACCTCCGTCGTCACCTTCGCAAAGTCGGTGCCTATACGGCCAGGATGCATCGCGTCACCACACTATTATTGTTTTGGTTTTACAGCCCAGAAGCAGAAATGTTTGCATGCGCGCCCCATCCGGGACTGCATGAGACCAACCTACAAGTTACACAAGTTTAACACAAGCGTCCTACGAGCTGAGGAGGCCACGGTGGGTTAATTGTCACTTTTGTGGCGCTGAGTGAGGACCTTGTACGTCGTCCTCCCCCGCTCTTCTGGGCTCGATGCGCCTGATGTGCCGTAATTAGCGCCGCCGGTGTCGTGTTTGGGTGCCTGAGAAAGGTAGAAGGCAAGCAAGACGAATGGAGAGAAGATAGGTCTTGATTGCGTAGCTCCGTGCATCCGGCGCCGAAGACCGAGCTGTTTTACCAGTAGTAAGCTCAGGCAGAACGGCGGTGTGCAAAGTTAGTATAGAGCACTGCTGCAGCAGTGATGAACGCCAGTGCACGTGCGCTCACGCATGCAGGACACGATGTTTGGTAAACATTCACGTACATGCGCCTGGATGCTCGTCCAACAAACCGTTAGCGGCTAAATTGTTGTTGGCTGTTGTCGTATGTATGCATAGACCAAGACGTGATTGGCTGGGTGAGGCCAAGCTGCTGGGTGGCTGGCTTGATCTCACGCTATCTCACCCACACTTAAGGATGGAAGTACGGACGCCTGGGTGGCTCGGGATATACGTAGGGATGATTGACGCTTGTAACGCACGCATGTGATGCTATCGTGCATTTTATTGCAAACGAAAGCAAATTTGCACTCGTTGCGACAGGAAACAACTGGCGAATAATAATGCACCCACACGTGCACATGCGATGGTTCATTTCAGCCCGCCGCCGTGGGCGCCTGGCGGTCGGTAGATGCGATAGATGGATAGCAAGTTATTACATACATACATATGGACATGCGGGTGTGTGTTACATGGTTGGCGGTTGCGTGACCCCATACCTGTAGAACTACCCATACGAGACGTGTAACATACACATATAGCATATGGACATGTCAATCGCCAAGCTATCACGAGCATCGCCACAAATTATACTTTAGATGGCATGACTTTAAAGGAAGAAGCAGGAGCAGCAATGCGTGATAACGCGCCAAGTGGCTCAATCGATGCTGCTGTGGCGGGAAACGCACGCGCATTTAGCCGTAATCGCCCCTAGTTCTGCAGAAGCTAGCTAAGATGGTAGGGCTTTATACATCTATAAACTTACGGGTATTTGGTCGCTGCTGGTTAATCGGTTTTGCGCGGCTTGGTTTCGGCTTGGTTTCGGCACTACAGTGTCGGAGGTTCTTTATGCGCCGAAGACGACTCATCGGTGCATCAAGGATAAAGGATGCATTATCGGATGCATTATGCATGATCGGCTTCTTGCTTTTGAGAAGCAAGAATCCAGCATTAACAGCAGCATTCGTTTATCTACCTAACGAAAGCCAAGTACGGTCAAAATTCCCTGCATGCATGCTTGCTTGCTTGTAGTGAACGGCGAATGGATGGAGTTATCAATGACCATGCATCGCCTGCGTGCGTACGTGCGTATGACTAGGTGAGAGTGAGACTACTGGGTGCATGTGTTACGTAATATGTGTGCTTGCTCCCATTAGCCCGACCGCACGTGGCTTGACCTATGAAGCCGTGCGGTTTCAACCCCGTAAGCCTAAACGAGTCCCCCGATGTCCCAGCAACAGTCACAGCAGGTACATACAGCAGCGAGCAGTATGTATGGAAGCTAGCTAGCTCGTCTGCCTGCTGCTTGCTATATTGAACTAGCTACTAACAAAAAATGCTGGAAGGCCTGCAAACCTCGCATTGCGTGCGGTCGGAGGTGAAGGAAACGCAGGAACAGCAGGTGTATCATTGGAACGCAATACTCCGACTGCTGGTCCCATACCACCGCCGAGGGGGCGAGTCGCCCCATCTACCGACATTGACCTTTCCGCTACCTGCTGCTGTGAACCCGCTGTGCAGCCTAGCTAGGCAACGCACGTACACATAATCGCTTTCATGGATGCACGGCATATGTGTGTGTGTGTGTTTTGAAAAGTAGAAAAAATTGGACACAGGATTACAGGTACAAGTTGCCAGCAGGTGATGAGCATTGGTTGGACGAGAACAAAGGGATGAGGGTTTCGTGCAAGCATGCCGCACAACCTCGTTGCAATTCCCATCCCGATCTGCATGAATGGTGTGTGCCTCGCTCTGATGCACGTGTTAATCAGGGTTGGAGAACTGCAAGCACTCCTGCTCATGCGCGTATCTCTGCTCCTGCACGTATGCACGCCCCCACTATTACTGGCTGCGTGCGTGGTCGGCATCAGCACATACATACCCGCTCGTCAAGGAACATGAGGGCAAATACGTGACGCTGAAAACTGAAAGGCCATGAGCAAGAGGCAGCGACCCGGAAATGGTGTGTGTGTGTCTGTCTGCCTGCCTGTCTGCCTGTCTGTCTGTCTGTCTGTCTGTCTGTCTGTCTGTCTGTCTGTCTGTCTGTCTGTCTGTCTGTCTGTCTGTCTGTCTGTCTGTCTGTCTGTCTGTCTGTCTGTCTGTCTGTCTGTCTGTCTGTCTGTCTGTCTGTCTGTCTATCTGTCTATCTGTCTATCTGTCTATCTGTCTATCTGTCTGTCTGTCTGTCTGTCTGTCTGTCTGTCTGTCTGTCTGTCTGTCTGTCTGTCTGTCTGTCTGTCTGTCTGTCTGTCTGTCTGTCTGTCTGTCTGTCTGTCTGTCTGTCTGTCTGTCTGTCTGTCTGTCTGTCTGTCTGTCTGTCTGTCTGTCTGTCTGCCTGTCTGTCTGTCTGTCTGTCTGTCTGTCTGTTCCAGAGAAAGCATGGCGTGAAGAAAGCCGGGGCGACAAAATGCTTCATGCGTGCTCATGTGTGGTAGAGGCAACCGACTTCGCACGGCTAATCATGACTGGACTGCAGACAAGTAAGGTCAGATATATATAGAGCTACGTAGGCCAAACATAAGCGTGGACAAGCTAGTCGAGCAAGCGGCGCCCTTCCCTCCACGATGCAGGCTGAAAGTCCATCCACGCATTGCTGAGATGGTGCAAAATGAACCATTGCACTTCGTCAATTTATCGTGGAAATGCATGTGGAAGACCTGGACTTCCGCAGGCTGCGCTGGAAGGCCGCGTGCCTGTTGCACCAGTAGGTCCAAAGGTGAAGTTACAACTGAATTTCCTACGTAAAGCGAATTTCATTTGAACTGCATGTCGCAATCCGCACCAGATTGCGAAGCCAAGCAATTAAACAATCAACCGCGATGGACTTTGAGTAGCCAGCAGAGTTGACGCATGGGACCTTTTTTGTGAACCATGGCCCCGTTTTTTGGCATAACGACGACCATAACTAAAACGTAAATCTTATTAAAATTATGTTTTTTAGTTTCTGGGGTAATGAGAGATGCGGGCAAGGGGGAAAGCAAGGGGTCCAAGCGAGGCCGGCAATCCCCCGATGCCTCATCCTCTTCATCTCGCGGGTTCGCGGGGTTAACCTCGGCTTTGGGCCGCCGATGAGCATATATACACAGAGAAATTACTCATCGTATCATGAATGAAAGGATGTGCGCGCGATCTCCATGAGATGCTTCAGAGCCCGGGCTAAATGCGTATTGCGCACACAATGCAAAACAGCTAGCGCTGGCCAATGGCCTTGCTTTTTATCAATCTTCTCCTTCAGCGAACAAGGCATCACACGCCTTTCCTTGCATGCGAACGCTTAAATATCACTGAATGGGTGCTTATCCTTCGTAGCGCAAATATGGCTGCCTGCTCGATCGCGCGCGTCTCGCCGATTGTTGTCCTGCAAGAACCTACACAACTTCGTCGACCCAGCTTACGCCCTGAAAAGCTTAATACTTGCCCACAGGTTATCTACATATCATACAGCGCAAAACCCCTATGGACAAAAGAGCTTACCTCTTACCACACTCGCTATGCCTATACTCGCTTCCCAGCAAACCGATATATACCGAAGCACGCAGAAATAGCCGACGGATGGATTGAGCTCATCCGTCATTTCCTTTGCCTATCGAGTGTGTTTTTAATTTACTGCCGCTTCTAATCAATATGTGTTAATTATATGATCCCCTTCAGACATGCATCGCGCGGCGGCGCACCTAGCTACGACTACCGTTTAACCATTCAAACGGTACAGCTACTGAATAGATACAGCAAACTATGCGACATACGCCGGTGTGCACCCAAATCCTCTTCTTAGTAAGTTTTCCGGGCCGGCATTTAATTGCCCTTAACTTACTGCATAACAAAGATAAAAAGATCAGGGGAATAAAGTTAGATATGCATGTACTGCATCATTATTTTCGCGCCCGCCATCCAGTCATGCGTACTGAGCATCACCAAACAATATGAATATCCCGCCATGCAAACCTAGGAAAGATCCGATTGATGGATGCAGGGGCGGGGAGGCAACTAACCCGCCTGTTGTAGGTACAAGTGACCAACCTAACCACTTATTTGCATCCGCCTATCCACACAGCCAGATAGACAGGCAGATAGCCACTGGCTGAGTATCCTTCTGGAGAAGTGCGGCCAATACGTATGGAGTTAAGCTGTGCTGTTAGACGGTGTCGGCCACGGCCGTGGCAGCGGCGGGGGCGGCACCGGGCTGCGTAGCTGGGGACCAGGCGAGGGAGGCGAGGGAGGCGAGGGAGGCGAGGGAGGCGAGGGAGGCGAGGGAGGCGGCGGAGGCGAGGGAGGCGAGGGAGGCGAGGGAGGCGAGGGAGGCGAGGGAGGCGGCGGAGGCGAGGGAGGCGAGGGAGGCGAGGGAGGCGGCGGAGTCGGCGGCCTGGGGCTGGTGGGAGGTTGCTTGACCGTGAGGGGTGGCGGGCTTGGGGAAGGCATTGGCTTACGACTAGGGGGCGGTGGGCGGGATGATGGGCGAGGACGCGGAGGCAGAGGATTCGGCGGCTTGGGGCGTGGTGGCGGTGGCCTGTTGGGCGGCCTGGGACGTGGTGCCGGCGGGTTAGGGGGCTTGGGATAGCTCGTCGGCGAAGGGCTTGGTGGCTTGGGAGATGGCGGCGGCGGGGGCGGGACATCCAAAGCCCCGAGTCCTGGGCACTCGGAAGGTGACGTGGTATAGCGGCACAGGTACACCCGCATAACATCCGTACTGGTCCATGGTCCGCCGTACACCACCAGATTGTAGGCGGTGAGGTTGGCACGGCCAAGTGAGGGAATTGTGCTGATGATGGTGATCTTCCGGTCTCCATATGAATAAGCGGCCGGGTATTCATTGTCCTGCGCACAAAGCACACGCATAGCACCGAAGGGCATGGAAATCATAGAGGCAAGTAGCTTAAGTCACATCAAGTCCTAACTACTGGAAGATTAGCGGTCCCGCAAAAAATCAGGGATAGAAAGGGGTGCGCCTTCCTCGTGCAGTGGACTGCTACGGATGCCTCTTAGTGTGGCCGAGGAGCCAACCGGGCGATGAGCTGTGGCTGCCCTTAGCCCTGGCTGCGTGCCGTTGGGGGCCTGACAGTGAATGGATTTAGAATGCCCCTGACTCAAAAAAGGAAAGGAAGGTATTCCGCCAGGCAAGAAAGCGGCCGCAGATCAAGGTAAATCGCTCTGTCACCACACTTGTCCACAGGCGAGGAGTAAAGAAGGCACATTGCTAGGGACGCGCGAGAAGGCAAGCATACATGTATCCGCTTAGGACACAGTATTGGTTTCAAGGCTCGACTCAACGAAAAACTGATCCTAAATTTCAACACTGAATGAGTTCGGATGCATCCCATCCGTACTGCAGTAATACTTGCTGTACCATCTCTACTATAATCCCAGTTTAGCTAGTTTTACTGAGCTCTTATGTCGATGTCCAGCTACCGGCCTATCCGCTGCTAACATCCTAGACGACCCGCGAGGGTTCCCACCGGAGCCACCGGATGGCGTTAAACCTTGCCGGTACTTGAACCGGATGGGAGCATCTCCTAGTAAGGGACCGCAATGGGTTGGCTCACTCACACTGGGGCTGTGCTGCCTAGGCCATTGCGCCAGGTGCTCGTGCGTTTTTCCAGGTAAAATGATGTTGAGGACCTCCTGGAAGGTTAACTAATGGCCTAATGGCCGCGAGCGTGCCTTGCAGGCTGTGTGACTGCAGACTAGTCGAGGATGAGCTGCATGTCTTTTGTGAATGTCCATCGGCCTATGGGCCCCTCGAAGTGAAATACAAGGGTGGCACTGGCTTCCAAGGGCACGGAATGCGTACCATTATGGCTGAAGCCCCCCTTTTTAGCTGTGGTTAGTTTCCTCTCAGAGGTCTGGGATACCAGGCACATCGCGCTGGGGAGTGGGAGAGGGATGTCAACATCCGCACTTGGCCCCGCAATGATTGCGATTGACTGGCCATGGGGCCCCCCCTCCGGCGTTTATGGACGCCCCCTGCATTTGTGCGGAGCTTGTGTAACTTGTAACCTATCCCGCACTCAGCGCAGAGTCCGTGTAAACAGAAATGTCTACCTGCATATATGTATGTTGCGTGCATATGCACAGATCAAGCCACACGACCGCACACCACCACACCAAGAAACGATGGGTTAGAACGCCATACCAAGCAACGATGACTCTGAGGTCGATGAGCCGTGCAGCAGTTATCAGCTGGTCCTTTTATCTTGTTATCCGCGCTGCTGTCTTTCCCCTCAAATTTCCTGATGGCAGTACCCCAGCTTGTAATAGCTGGCCGCTGAAGCGGCCTATCAAAACGCTGGCAGAGCACACTAGCGCGTATCTATGGGCGTCCTGCGTGCTGTACTCTACGACATCGACCACACCACGCAGCACCACGTGGCATTAGCTCCTAGACGTAACATTCTTTCCATGCCCAAGTGCGATCCTCTCACCATTGTTGCGTTGACCTCATGCACATTAACCTTGGGTGCAAAGCTTGCTACGAGGTTGGCGGAAGACCCATTCGCCACCCTCACGGCGATGTAGAGGTTCTTAGCGAGTGTGCTGTCGGTATAAGTGGGCAGCCAGTCGGGCACCACTCGCAGGTAGTTGCCGTCGCCAGTGAGGTAGGTGGCGGGCAGGACAAAGGCAAGTGCGGAACCTGGAGCAAACGAAGCAGAGCTGATGGCCCCGCCGCCTGGTGCGGGTATGGCCCAGCCCATGCGAGAGATCTCGGCAGCGTTGGGGCAGGCATTTCCGCGGCCCATGAGGGTAGAGTTGTCTAGTGATCCAGTACCGTCCTTGGAGTGCCAAAGTCCTGGATGCGTGGGTAAGGTCAGGCAGGCGGCCGCAACATCAACGGGGCCGCCTTCATATCCTAAGCTGGGGAGTGCCATTTGGTGCGCAGAAGATTACATACATACATTCCCAGAGGTCGGTATATCTCACATGCATATCTAACTATCCCGCATTCCGCACGAACGGATGATTGTGAGTCCGATGGATGCTAAACTTCATTCGTAGTTACTGCTCTAAGCCACCATGCGCCGTGTCTTTTCCCTCCCTCGCTCACACTCACCGTAGTTATGTAGGGCCTCCTGCATGACACTTTCCCAGCGATACACGCCGTAGCTTGTGGTTTGCAACCAGACCTGGTTTCCGGGGAGCATACCCAGCCCCCACCAGCCGCAGGCTTTTTGCAGTCCGGGCGGTAGGATGTAGACGAAGTGAGTGAAGGTGGATAATGTGAGAAGACCCAGAATATTCCTTGCAGCCGCGTCTGCATTGTTGGATATCTCCCACCAGTTGCATTTCGCTGCGACCGCGTTAGAGTAGTTCTGCCGCACAGTCAGCACGCGAAAGCCTTGGGGGCTCAGGTTAAACTTGCCGTACGAGCATTGCGCGTACTTTTGCGCGATGCCGCCGGTGCCATCACCGTTTGGCCCCAGGAAGAGGGAGCGTACGGTAGACTCGTTGAGGCTCGGTGCGTACCCACTGCTTGAATAGTCCAAGATTATGACAAGCAGCCGCTGGAAAATGGTGGGAGGTGGTCCATAAGAGCATGCAATGATGGTGCCATTATTGTTGTCCATGGAAGCGGCCAACGATGCTGCCATGGGGCTGCACATGCTACAAGGCAGGCATATTTCCTCGTAGAATTGGGGATCACACATGCCATCGTTGTCATAGTTGCAGTTCTGCATACAGCCCAGGAGGAGAGGGTCACGCGGGAAGCAACACATACACGTGTGTCTTATACGTTGAGTTGCGTTACTCTCCGAAGATGTAACGGCCCATACGAGCCCAAAAGCCAGCCAAAGGCTGGCCGAAATAGATAGCTGTGTGAAACAGGGGGGTATACCCCTGCGACCCCAGCTACCCTGCGAAACCCTGCCTTCCCCGGTATTTCGGGGCACCCTCATCCAGTCACCCTAGTCAACTTCTCAGTGGATCGCTCAGGTTCCGCACCCACCACCAGCATCCAACGGGATCTGCCGGGTCGACAGCGGCCCAACTCCATTCCTGGTCGGCTCGAAATGTTAACTTTATCCCAGGTCACCACCGTCCATCAAGTAGGGGCGCAATACCTTCAATTATGGGAAGGTTTTTGACCCAAACCCTAATAGGCATCGATCCTGGGATCTCTCGAAGACACTAATTGGGCGTTATCAGTAGTGCCAACCCTAGTATATAGCAAAATAAATATGCGAAATTTGATAAAAACAATTAGTATGGTGCCTGTTCAAGAGAAAAAATTACGTCGAACTAACTGCTGAACTATCAGGACCGTTATGCCGTAGCCATCCTCATGCCTGGTTGCTTCCCCGCCGAGGGGAAATTAAGCGGTACTGCATGTGTAGTGTGCGCGAGTCGTCGCGCTTAGCGTGGGCAGGACCAGGCATCCAGTAGCTGACCGTGCATGCAGTAGCTGGCTGCCGTAAGGGCCTCTAGAGATGCTGGGGACGCGGCTTTTGTAATTGATGCCGTGCGCCGTACTGTACGACAGCCACTACAGTGCAGCAAACCAGAGTCGTGCATGCATACCATGATTGCGATAGCCGTGGATGAGACGGTTGAGGTATGAACCTACGCATGTATGTTTTTTTCCACATCAAGGACACCAGTAGTAGTTGCACATGTCGTAGTATAACAGGCAGCAGTCAGGCGTTATGATGATACGCTCTTAGCTAGCTTTTCCAAGGCTTCATGCATGCCATGTGCGCGTGCACAACACCCTAAACCTATCATGGCCAAGCAGGAAAGTGTCTGCTCCCTGGGTTGGTCGCTTTCCGCTTCATGCCTTTTTCCCCCGCCTATTTGTCTAGGTAGGCCTCTCGTCATTTGTCCTCGTTTTAGCGCGTTTTTGACGGGTTTATGTTTTGACGCGGTCACGTCACTCATCGTTGCGGGTTGATGCTTTCCTTTTCAATCTTTTTGTAGTAATTATGCGTAGCGCTTCCTGTGGATTGTGTCTGGGCCTGCGCTTCCGTCTTGGGGCTCGGGTAGCGCAGATGGCTTTTACTTGGAAATCCGTGGTTCCCTGTACATGTTAGTCAGGGTTTAATTCGACCTCCCTTTTCACCCTCCTTCGTCTGTAGCGCTACCCGCTGCCGCTGCAACCTTCCCCTCAGAAAAAAGGTACGGACAGGACGGATACGAAACGGGTGTGAACAGATAAGCAAGGTACAGACGGTATCGGTGCTGTAATCAGTACGAAGGTGCCAATCAATGGGACCGTCGATAACATTCGTCTTGCAGACAGCACATTATGCTTGGTAACACGCGACTCACCATGTGGACCAGGGCCCCAGGAAGGGTTCCCGCGGGCGGTTTTGAGGAGTTCTTTGCCAACGGTATGAGATCGCCGTACACAGTGCGGAGAACCCACAATGGGGTTCCATCTTGGTGCGTGTCGACAATGGAAAGCATCCCTATAACAAAATTGGTGTCTGGTGGGCTGTCCGCTGCGGGTGGTTCCAAAATGACGGCTGCAGGGCAACAATTTTCCGAGATACATGCACAGGAATGTTAGATTCATACAAGTACACGTTTATACAAAGTCATGAAGTCATTACGTAGCTGCACTCTGTGCCCGCCGGCGCTGCTCATCCGTTAGGTAGGTCAAGTATCGAAACACAAGTCCGTGCATCATTGCCAGAAGACTTTCAGGATGTTTGTGGTACTGCGTGACTTCCCATGAAGTATGCTAACACCTTGCTTGCTCGCTTGCTTCCTTTCGGAGCTGGATGACACGCATTTATACCTTTGTCGAAATCTGTAATTGGAACCGTTTGAAAATAACTATAATTTTGGATGTAACAACTGCACTTTAATGCGTTCGTTCCATGTCAATATTCGGGTGCAAGCAGCTGCAGTGAAGCGTGCACAGGGAACTTATTATAATCTTTGAAGCAGCGCACCTGCACGTATTGAGGTGCCCTTGTACGCAACTAACCTTACCTTGCGTGAATGAAGCTACCACAACAAGAACTAGCGCCTTTAATAACAGAGTCGCAAAGGCCATGCTTGCTCAAGGACACCGTCGTCCTAGCCTAGAGAAGAGACGCAGGTCTGACCTATAGCACCGGCCTATGAAAGCTAAGCCGCTAATAATGCTCAGTCCTCCATGGATCACTGACGCCTTCCCGTTGTCTTCCGGAAAGCATCCAGGCAGAACCTCGTATACAGTAATGTAAAGAGGATTACCTAAAATATTTTAACTCATAAGCTAAAGAAATAAGTACCGTTTCCTGGGAAAACGTTTGTAAATGCAGTCCGAATTGATTGGTTAGACGCGGAACGGGCGCCCGCCACCTTGGCCTTAGGGGCCTTGTATCCACCAGAGAGCCATCACAAGCTACAAAATCAGGCCAAAGTACCAGCCAAGCAATGGCCAACCCGCCACCTGTGCCTATACAGGGTGTTTCCACTTGGCCGCACACTAACTTTCCAACATTATTTTTAAAGTGGAGTTAGTGTGTGGCTATTGAACAGGTGTTTTCATTAAGCCCCCCGGAACCATACGACAGGTTGCTATTAAGGCACCAAGCCATTGTTATAGTAAGAGTGGGTGTAATTTAATGCGCAAATCATTAGAGTTTGGTCGGCTAATTGCTGGAATGTGGGCAATTCGACCGGTCCTGCTGTGAATTCCACGGGTTAGCGGGCTATTTGCGGCCGTGGACAAAGGAAAATACAAAAGTCAACGAAGGACCTTGAGGAGGGAAAATGGCTAATTATGAATTTTCCCGCTCGGAAGTTAATTTCCACTTTGAAAGTTATCAGCAGGTCTGAGGCCCTGATAACTAGTGTGCCACGAACGCGGACTTCGGGTGTTTCCACTTGGCCGAACACTAACACTAAGTTCGAATGTTCTTCGTCCTGGACTCGTCTCTCACCGTTCTAAATGCATATATTGATATAACTAATGATAGTTACAAATATTCATCAAACAAATTGGAGGTTGGGGCACTCCTGGAGGAGAACCGTAAGGCCTAGTGGAAACACCCCGTACACTAAGTCCACACTAGCGCGTCACAAAGTTAATTGGACCTCAGACCTGCCATTAACTTTCAGACCTAGCACTAACTATTTGGCGGGCAACTTTTAGGAGCTGGATTGTCCCTTCTGACCACAGACTTTAGATGTAAGCAGCTATCTTTTTTCCTTCCTGCAAAAGCCGCGTTGACTTGCGCACGCCCAATACCGACAGCCTCGGAATGCCGCCACTTGTAATGGAGCCCACGTTTAACAGGAAAAGCCTACGATCCATATTTACCTTACAGACCTTGACAATTAGCAGCAATTAATACCCGGCGCTAAAACATCCAAAAGAAAACAATTTTGGTTTCGGCGCTCTTTAGTGCACCTAGTGGAAGCACCGTCACACTAGCACTACACTAAGTCCACACTAGCCCATAGTGTACCGAAGATAGTGTTCGGCCAAGTGGAAACACCCTGATAGTGTCCGAGGCGTTTCCACTGGGCCCTTCAGCTTTTCGCGTACGGAGTCCCTTTACGCGATTTTTTTAGAGAACTTTTACTTTCTATTAATGTATTTAACTAGTTTCTTATCGCTTGGATGATTCGCTGAGCCAGGTGTGAGATTTTTTGAACTTGATGTTAGTGTGCGGCCAGTGGAAACACCCTGTATGTCTTAGATTTGTCTATCTGCTGCAAGAAGTCCATATGTCACCACGATCTGCAACCCTTCTAGGAAAACAGCATTCAATAAGTTATTATGTGTGTTTCGCCCCCTTGATGTAGCTATGATGTCAAACAGCCGCTTGGTACGTTGGTACGCTTGGTGTACAAAGTTGGGCGTACGATTCTGTACGACGACCTTCTGCAAGGTTCAGCGGCAGCCATCCTATCCGGCCTGATAATCACTTACGCTGTATGAAGCAATAAAATTGAAAGTACTTTATTGTCGGAAGTATTTCTGGGAGCGCAACTTGTTACACATGAGTTTGGCTGCTGCTGCGGCTGCCGCGGCTGCTGGGGCTGCTGGGGCTGCTGGGGTCAGCAACCTTCGGTAGTAACATTAACTTAGGGTTTTGTATTGAAAGTGCGTATGTCACAACTTTGGACGCCTGCGGCATGTGGATGCGCAGGTCGCTGCCTCTTTTGGTACCCTGCAGGATATCGGGCAACAAGGTATATTCCTGGTACTTCCCTGGAAAGGGAGGCTAGAAATATGGCCTTACTTATTGCCGTGGCAATCCGATGCCCAAGCCATACAGAATACAAGGGCCAATATACACGGCTGTGTACGGCTGGATTGACCATAGCACACAAAGGCGATACCTATCGAATAGATAGGCAAGCCGTAGGTAGATAGTAGCCAAGATAGCAAATGTCAATACCTGGGTGGATTCGCGCGTCTGGGTGTTTAGGTGGTTCGCAGCGTACCTACCGATGTTTCCCATAGGTAAATGGAACACCCTAAAGTAAAAATGTATCACCGGTATAACCGCCGCAATTGATGCCAGATTTATTTTGGAGGTCCAGGAGCCCCTGCCGGGGTTTTCCGCGGCGCAGGATTACCCATGATTACCTTTGATTATCCATCCCTGCAGCTGCTGCTTGGGTCGCGAAACATATGGCCAAGCACCAAAAAGCCTCTCTATCTGTTGGAAATTTCAGGGTGCAAATTGCAAATTTAATGTATTTGCTGTGCGTAAGCTTTAACGTCCACCCTAATGCCCAATTCAGTTTTTCAATGCGTGCCAGGAATGGGGAAGAGTGCTGCGGCGCGGGTCATCCATTCGGATCTTTACGGAAAAGCCGTCTGCTGGAGATGCAATCGACAGCATCGCACGAACAATGAAGCATATTCCACGATGGCCTTTGTTGGCGTGGCCTTGCGTGCCTGCGTACGGGGCTATCGCTCCGGTGGTTGGCCATGCAGGCTGATTTCCTGAATTCATGTATTTACTAGGCGACACCAACACCTGCACACCAAGTAGGTGCTGTTGCGTACGATAATACAATCGATGGGCCTGCGCCTCCTTCGCCTGCTAGCCCCAGAGGCCCATGTTGCCCATGTCCGTCGGGAAATTCCTTACAATTATGGCCTTTTTGAGACCGTCCGATGCATTGCTCGTTCCTGAAAGACATGGCCTAATAAGGAGCCTGTACTCGTCGCGGTCCCCAGGCGCCCAGCCTCTCCCTCGCATGCATACAGCCATAACCCTCCACACCGTTTCCGTGGCACAAATGACTGCCAACAAGGAAAGAAGATGGAGGAGGAGGAGGAGGATGAAGTAGCTGCTGGCCGCTGAAAAGGCCTTTATAGATGCTGGCGGAGCACCTTCGCATGTGTGACGACATGTGTGCCGTATTACATATAGCTGCTATAGCGATGTACGCCTCCAGACGTTGAATCAGCTCTTCGCAAGAAGCTACACCAGCGACATATACCACGCAACTTGCTGTGATATAGGCACATACATGGCTGCTGCTGTCCAGGGCTGGCCATCCGTCGCGCCGCCGGTCGAGCGAAGCCTGCATCCTGGTGTTCTATCTCTTGTTTCGTACTATTGTGGTACGGGGCATATTAGGGCTCACGCCGAGGCATCCCCTGCCGGCATCGTGTCAGTCGGGGGCGAATGCCATAACACGTATATCGCAACTTATCGACCGCCTAACCCCGCTATGGACCATAGCGGCGATAGTGTCTCTGAATGACGGAAACCATGAAATACCGCCTCCGCAAGAGGCCTGGAAAAGAATTGTCAAGAGCTTGGGATGGAGGTTTGGTCAAGTGTTACTGCATTTCTCTCAATTAACAGTCACGTTTGCGACGACTTTATTAATGGCACCTTCTTTACGGACGCTTGATCTAAAACATGAAGATTTTATTTTGGATGCTGTTGATATCGTCTTATCGCCGGAGAACTTGGCCAACACCTTGTTGGACTTCCGTCGTACTCTGTCGCGCATGTGGAGACTTCGGTGGGATAACGAGCATAAAGAAGCCCTTTGGCGGCTAGCTCTTGATGGTTTCCCTGCCTTTCCTATGCATAGGGCGAAACGTCAAAGAGGTGTCCCTGCTGCTTTGTGCCCCTGTGGTGTGCGCATGCTTTGTGGGGATCGTCGGCATCATTTCTGGGACTGTACTGTCGCGTTGGCTCTTCGTGAAGCTCTGCAGAATGAACTTGAGTTCCCAGACCTGTTTAACCGGGCTAACCTGTGGTTGGGCATTCCACCGACCTCGGTTTGTGCGTGTGTGTGGGAGGTTGTATGCCTCGCGGCCATCAGCTCACTCAATCTCGGTCGCCGTTTGTTGTTTAGGGAAGGTCTTCAGACCAACATGCCTATATCAACGCCATCGCTTAACCGCATTACTTACGAGGTTATCTCTGACTTTTGGGCCCGTTTAACTGCTTTTGCGGCACGGGACTACTTGCCAAAACATTGGGAACATGTACCTCACAATCACCCTTTCTTATATGTCAACGACGCAGACATGGTTGTTTGCCGTTTACCGATGTACAATGACGAAGTTTGAGGGCGCACGTCGGAGCCTCAATTTTCTGTTTAAGCGTACCAACTGAGGCCATGTGTCCATTGAAGTTAGTACGGCCTGGCCGAGTTCTTTTTGAATAAGGCCCACAGTGTTGTGCGGGAGGCGCTCCTAGGGGCGCTGCACTCGACCCGTTCGGGGTCCACTGTAACAATCGCATCTCTATCTCTTGCTTTAACGTGTATGCAATCCAAATATAATATATTGGATATACATCGTCTAGAGACCTGTTTTATTATGTAGTAACTTAAGTTAGCTTCAGCGACATTTGATAGAAGGTTCTTGACAAGTCGGGTGTCGGCTTCCTCGAAGCCGGAAAAAGGGCGGGCCCCCTCTGCATCCGTACAGGCCGTTAGCTAGCGCGGCACGTGTGACAATTGATGGGTAGTGTCAACGCGGTGGGAGATGTGCTTTGTTGCAGCAGTGCTGATGGTGTGAGAGCTAAGCTTGCACCGGCGGAATCGGGCTCCACGCGAATCGCATCCATCCCGGGTGCATGCCGCATGGACAGTGCGGCAGACCGCAAGTCGGAATGCCCGTGCGGGCAAATGGTAACGAAAGCTGGGTGAATTTCGGTGCTGTCTGTGATGTTTATCCCCGAAGCGCCAGCGGCCTCAGCAATCCGCCCTACAGCCGCGGGCTTCATCGGGACACACCGCAAGTCTCCGGAGGCCCCGAGCATTGGCTAAAGTAAATGTACAAATGAGCAGCTTGCGTATTTCATAGAGAAATGTAAGCAATTTTGTCGGCCTGCTGATGGCAAGTAGGAATGCCCGTGCGGGCAAATGGTAACACAAGCTGGGTGTTCAAGTTATCATACGCTGTCATCTCGGAAATCAATGATGAGATACGCGATACCTTTTGAGATTAAATTTAGCCCGAGAGGCGTTGATGTGACTTTGGCCTCGGTCAATTGAGGCAGCCAAAGTTGTTTGTGCTCATACGATTTTTGTTGGCTACAGGCGAGATACCTTGCGATAGATAATGATATATGGTACCTATAACGCATTTCAGACGGGCGAGATATTATGTTTGGTCCGTTACACACACACACGCACACACACACACACACACACACACACACACACACACACACACGGACATGGGCAATCCTACAGGTCGGGGCCCCCCTGGGCGCTTCGCGCTGGGGCCCCGCCCAAAAATATTAGTCTGATTCCTACAAGCAAATATATTTGCCGAAAGAGATAATAGAACGATCTCAACGCGCGTCCATCCTTTTGACCATATACTCTAACCCAGCGCCTTCAAAACTTTCGCCCCGTCCCCACTGCCATCACCTTAAATAGTGAGTAACTGGGGACTGAATGAATGAATCTTACTTGGTGGGCAGGGGTGGGCAGGCGCTCCCGCATGCTCGTTGCCTTGCAGCCAGTCGCCCGGATGGGATGGAGGCCGAAAGCAAATGTGTATTTATGTGCGCTTATGCAGGCACGCACGCGGGCACCGGATGCTGCATGCAGATGCCCGCATGCCACCGCCCAACATACGTACATACTTGCAGCCTGATGCGCACGCAGCCAATCACCACTTGCTCTGCTACATTAATGAATCAACACCATGCATACATACCAGAAACGTATAAGGTTATCAAGCAACTCCGGACGGACGTGCGAGTATGCCATATGCATGCACGCCCAAAGCCGTCATCACCCAAAGCAACCCTGCAAGGCCAGGGCTAACTCCCAGTTTACATGCAGTAGTGGCACCTATGTACATGCACATAATTTGCTAATGTTTTACGAGAACCTTGCTCAGTAATTCCGCATGCCCACACCTCACACTGTGTGGAGCAACGCATCCCGAACCGCGCAAAACTGGTCAATCCGACTCGATTCACGCCCCTACGCGGGTAATTCGACTAACCCCGCCGGGGTAAAGGCGCAGTCTAGTACATAGGACAAGGATGGCTGGGGGGATTCGCCGACCCCGGACACCACCTATTAGCCATCAGTCATCACAGACAAAACGACATACAATACAGTCCAGCGCTCCAAAGGGGGGGGTCTGCTGTTGTCCGCTGTTGTCGAGCGATCCTGCATGTATCACGGCAGGTGTTGCGGCTGCTGTTTCGCCTCTCGGTGCTCTTCGACGACAGGTCCACACGCACATACATACACGTGCACAGCAATAATGCGTGAATTACTTGCTATCCTCGACAGTTGCGTTGCTACGTATGCTTTCTACTCATTCATATAGATGGCTTGTGCATTTTGCCGCGAGTGCTTTCCTCTCATGCCGCCGCGGCAGGCCCACGCTTGCTGTCCTATGACGAGGTCTGCTCAGATCTGCTGCTTCTCGCCGCATCCCGATGTTGCGCCAGAAAGCCACAAGTAATGCTGCGCACACACCATCATGCACATTTTTACTCTATTTCTGTAAGTACACTTCTATCGCCACGCCATATGGCGCGCGCACCGCCATGTAATAGTTTTTACCGGCCGCCAAGCAAGTAAGATCAAAGCCACCGATGACCACTACATACATCGGCTGACAAGAATGACCTCCATATGCGTAGAACAACATACGCGATCCGGCAGCAGCGGCTGCAGCAGCAGCAGCGGCAGCAGCGCGCAGAAACGCCGTGATGAGCGATCACACGCGCGAACTTTCGTTTACCTTGAGCGGCTCCTGTAACGAAGGCCAAAACTGGCAAAACTGCGCGCGCGTTTATTACGCTGATGAATGAATACTACCCCGTTTCTGGCCGTACATTCATGAATTCACCAAAATCAACGCCGAATCGCTACATCTCCGCATTAAGCTTTATAATGAATAAACAATTGATAGTAAGCCTGCCAGAAAGCCCTGCCGCGCCCACACCTCTCCATTGACACTCCTTTCCACGTACTCATCATCAGCCGGCGGCGGCAGGAGCGAGTCGCAGCGTCGCCTTGCTGCTGCCGGCCCCTTCAATACATGTGTACATTTTCCTCCACGCGCGTGCTATGCTATACTTTACAATGTGATGTGGACGTTCAGCGAGGCGGCAGGAGATATTCATCAGCTAAAGCTACGCCGACCTTGGATAGTGTCCCGAGAGATAGGTAGATAGATAGATAGTTGGATAGATATATTGAGATAGATGGATACATTATTGTGGCCGCCCTCAGGAAGCAGGCTCGCTCCCTCGACAATGTAGCTTATTACTTGCTATGTAACGCAATCGTAATCTCCCAAACGTTCGTATCTTTTGGCGCTCATTCCGGCAGCTGGTGATTAATATTAGCCCGTCCCGCGTACTCAAAAGAAGAACGCGAAGAGAAAGAAAATTGGCCGAGCAAAGCGACACCGATGGCGGCTAGTCGCTGAGCAGTAGGAATGGACGGAAGCGGCTCGCTGTGCTGGCAGTTCTGCTTTCGTTCAATTATGCAAATATCCAGGGTGACGGAGCGGCTGGCTCCATGCGGCCTCCGGTCCTGGGCCATCATATGATGGATGCATCCATCGGCCTACCTCACTGCCTAACCGAGCAGCTGTCGCCTCCCAACCACCTGATGGGGGGGGTCACGGAAAGGCATAGTAAAGGCATAGAAAGGCACGTAGGCACGTCCACATATGAGGGCAGCGTTGACATCAGGAGTGGATTCAGCATTGTGTCGTGCATGCAGCAGGGCTGATAATGCAGATGGCGCAAACGGCATGCATACGGTACAAACGGCACGCAGGCAGTACATACGGCATGCTGACAGTGGCCACGCAACTCCGCATGTCTGGATGGTTGAACATATATATAAATATATATACATATATTTATTTATACGTATATTTATTTATACGTATATATACGTATCCGTATACATACGTACATACACACACATATATATATATGCTTTATGCGATCTATGTGTAAAATGCGTGCTGGTGCGATAATCATGACCGTGTGAGCCAGATCCTCAGCGGAGTGTACGTGCTCATTCCCAACGCAGTTACCTCGTGCACGTCTGTCAGCATGCATGCCTACTAGTCTTTCCCAGCAACGTGCGCACGGCCAACACCCAATGGCCGTTCCTATGCTCAACATTTTAGCAATATCCGTTGAAGTTAAAGGTTCTTGGGCCACGTGATAAGCGTACGTCAAGTCTAAACAGTTACCGGTCATGACGCACCTTGAGGGGGGGTGGTCGTCGGGGTGAAGGAGGTGGGGGTTTGGAGCTTGGGGGCAGCCTTGGTGGTGGAGGTCGCGGTGAAGGGCGAGGGGTAGGCGGTCGTGGCGATGGGTTTGCCGGCGCCCGGGGGCTTGGCGGCTTGGGTGCGGGCGGCGGCGGGGGGACCTCGATAGCTCCGAGTCCTGGGCACTGTGAAGGGGATGTGGTATAGCGGCACAGGTACACCCGCATAACATCCGTACTGGCCCAAGATCCGCCGTACACCACCAGATTGTAGGCGGTGAGGTTGGCACGGCCCAGCGAGGGAATCGTGCTGATGATGGTGATCTTCCGGTCGCTGGTCGCGTAGGAGGTTGGGTAACCGTTGTCCTGCAGGTTGTTACAATACACAACGGTCGTTAAACACGATTGCCGTAAGGTTGCGAGGCAAGGATGGAGTATTTTGGGAAGCAAGGCTGAAAGGACTGCTAGAAAGCTGTGTCAAAAGGGCGCCTTACACGTATTCGTTCATTCCCTATGTAATCGGTACCTTTTGCTTTGTAATCGGTGTTAGAAGTGGTTCGGCTCTGGCCCCCGCAACCTCAATGTTGGTTGAGGCAACTTTATGCACAGACAATGTTTCCAAGATCCCGTGTAACTTAGGAATTTATCCCGTATTTTATTCCGCTCCGGCACGTGCTTAATTCCTTTCCGCAATGATTCTCAACTCAGTGAAACAGCAGCAGTACTGATGACCCATGTGCCACATTCCCCAGCAACTCGGGACTGCGGGGCATGCCTCATCTCGCATATTGTAAGCTTGCATCAAATCTTGGCAACTAACCCTCCCCGAGCTTTCAAGCGCCTATTCCCTGCTCGCTGACACAACACCATCCAAACCACCTTCCATCAAACCTGCATCGTTGAACACATGTGCGTATGTGTTGCGCGTGCATGCGCGCGCACGTGTGTGTGTATGTGTGTGTATGTGCGTGTATGTGCGTGTATGTGTGTGTATGTGTGTGTATGTGTGTGTATGTGTGTATGTGTGTGTATGTGTGTGTATGTGTGTGTATGTGTGTGTATGTGTGTGTATGTGTGTCATCGTCAGGCTTCCCTAAGATCTTAATCGGTGATGGGACATGGAAGTGCCCTGAGTAACCAAAGTTGTGAGTCACCCTTCAGCACAGTTCACACACGCCCACCCCCTTTCAATTCAATCTTTCCTCACCATGGTTGCATTGACCTCATGCACGTGCATCATTGGAGCATATGCTGCCGACAGCCCAGCATCGGGCCCATTTGCCACCCTCACGGCGATGTAGAGGTTCTTAGCGAGCGTGTTGTTGTTGTTGTAAGTGGGTAGCCAGTCGGGTACCACTCGCAGGTAGTTGCCGTCGCCAGTGAGGTAGGTGGCGGGCAGGACAAAGGCAAGTGCGGAACCTGGAGCAAACGAAGCAGAGCTGATGGCCCCGCCGCCTGGTGCGGGTGTGGCCCAGCCCATGCGAGAGATCTCGGCAGCGTTGGGGCAGGCGTCACCACGGCCCATGGCGGTCGAGTAATCATCGTACTCGACACCGTTTCGCCAGGAATGCCACAGACCTGGGGATGTCAAGGAAGGCGGGCGGGAGGTAGGTCAGGTGGTGGACTATGGGACAAGCGCCCTTAAGGCTTGGAAGCCTCAACAGTGTGATATTGCCTTGGATCCATGCGCACGGCAACAATACGACAGTAACAGCAACCTGTAGAGCCCCACCTCACCGTAGTTGTGTAGGGCCTCCTGCATGACAGTGGCCCAGCGATACACGCCGTTGTCTGTGGTTTGCAACCAGACCTGGTTCCCAGGGAGCAGTGCCAGCCCCGACCAGGGGCATGGAAGTCCGGGCGGGACGATGTATATGTAGTGGGTGAAGCTGGCGAACGCCACGCTACCTAACAACGCCTTTGTTGCTGTGTCTGAGGTGCCCGAAATCGCCCACCAGCTGCAAGTCGCCGTGATGGCTGTGGAGCAGGTTGTCTGGGGCACGGTAACCACCCGGAACTCTGTGGCGTTCAGGTTGAACTTGCCGTACGAGCATTGCGTGTACTTTTGCGCGATGCCGCCGGTGCCATCACCGTTGGGCCCCAGGAAGAGGGAGCGTGTGGTAGACTCGTTGACCCCGGGCGGATACCCGCAGATACTGTAATCCTGAATCATAACAAGAACTCGTTGGTATATCCCAGGAGTTGTGAGCGCCGCCAAGCTTGCGCCAACGACGGTAACATTGCCAGTCGTAGGTGTACACAAGCCGTCAGCATTTAAGTCGCAGTCCTGCGACATGACACACCACGGCAGCAACAGCAAAAAACTAAATCGTTGTGATTGTGCTGACGTCACCGTGTGGTGGTGATGGATTGTGTTGCTGCTGACGCTGGTGGCTTAGGTGGCAGTGGTGGTGCTTTAGTTGGAGTTGCATCTGAATGGATGTTGCGGAGGTACGGCAGGTACGGCAGGCTGGGAGAGGCAGGGACGGCGGCGGCTGCCAGCGGAATTACCCACCAGAGTGACGTTGGTTCCTGGCTGGAAGTCGCCCTTGCCATCCTTGTCTTTCTTGGGCGGCTTGAAGGCCTTCTTATCAAGCGGAGTTAGCAATCCGTCAGCCTGTTTGATCGCCCATTGTTCAGTGCCGTCATCTAAAGTCACGTATACCAGCGATCCCTCAGTTGGAACTTTCTTAAGCAGACCCGGAGCAGCTTTCTGTGCCTCGCTCAACGGTGCGACTGCAATGCGTTGAGAACGGGCAGGCAACAAAGGAAAGCGTGATGTCCGTTAACACTTGGCGGTGCAAGAGTGGAAATGTGCTCCTGTTAAAAGTTGAATCAGATGGAGCGGAATGGGGTTGCTGGAGGACGTTTGCCACCTTCTCGGAAGCCGCTCGTCCGAACGTTATAATTTTGCAACAGTCTATGTAAGTCAAAAGGGCCATGAGTAAGGAGTTCAATAAAATAATGGCAGCATTACAGCAATTATATTGTTAATCCTTTCCTTTCATACTGAGAGAACTGCACGGATTCGCAGGGAAGAGAGCGCGTCCGCGTTGGCATTCGTAATACCAGGATACTCCTCAAAACGTACCTTGTGCTAATGCAAATATCAAAACAAGTGGAATCATTGGTAAATACATGCTCATCCGGGCAGCGAAATCGAGCACAAGAGTTACTGTTGCTTTCCGTTCAAAGCACGTACACTTTGTACAGGTAGGTTGCTCGCCAACAAGATCTAATTTTTGAGTTACTGATAACTGAGGTCATCACAAGAGAATGTTCATGTTTTAAATATTGTTGGTATGCTCCTTACCTGAGGCTTTGAGGCTCCATAAATATTCGCCAAGCCTTACTACGTGTACGGCCAGGTACGGCAGGTTGCCAACCAGTGTCAGCTTTCGTGCACTTGCAGATCTTAGAACATATTTGGATGGAAGCAGTGAGATTATGCAGACGTTAAAACTAATCTCGCAAATTTTGTTTCAATAGCAGAATCCGCAGGATACTGGCCACGTGCTGGCCACGCTGCAGACAAGGCAGATGCAGCATCGCGAGGCAATTACAATATGCGCATTCTTATTAATGATTTTCTCATACTTATAAAGCTAGTTGCGACCGTCGAAGCTGCTCGTGCAGTAATCGCTTACGTGAAGTGAAATATTAGCACCCCTACGATGAACCCTTCTCGCCGGTGGGCGGAAGAGCAGATTCGATGTCCAGGCAGACTTGCTGAAGAAGGAAATTCGAATCGACCATTACTTGTAATGTTTTCCTGCTACGCCCTTTTGCGCTCACGCACATTGCATATCCCTTCGGCAATTCAGCGCAAGTATACTGCCGTAATGCACCGGAGTTAAATGCCTCGCGGATCGATCGAGCGTGTTTTTTCGTAAAAGGCACAAAGGAAAAAACTAGTAACGTGTCCACCACCAGTAGGTGGTAATCGCCATCATTCACGAGTTTTGCATAGAGTCTCGAGATCGCGGTGCCTGGTTTGACAAAATACATTTCTGTACCTTAGGATGGTATGTGTACATCCACCGAATTACGAACAATTATAAACATTCCATTTGTGTTGTTACATCTCAAGCACTTGGGTACAAAGTCATCAAGCGTCAGGCGTCGGGCGTCGGACATGGCGGCTGCCAGTCTTGCGCACACCCACCAGCGCCAAATTTTACCATGGCTTAATCGATTCGTGCGCCCGAATCGACCTACTCAAGATTTATGGTTAGACCTGGCTGGAGCGCTGCCCAAAGCGAGCATGAAATTGCACCATCCACCGATTCAAATCCAGTTTGACGAGGTTTTACTTTCTTCGCGCCATCCCATATTGGCCTTGCTGATAAGCTGACCAAGAACATCCCACTGGATTATTGAACGTGGATTATTTTTTGGGGGGGTGGGTTTAGGCCCATCATTTATTAATAAATGTTGACTAATGTCGTTTCAACGAATCCGAACGGGTCACCGGTCGTGGCATCCAAGCAACCAAGCATTATAAAATAGGCTTCGAAAGCTGCGAGCTGATACCACCCAGTACCATCCAGAGGGCGTCAAACAACCGGAGGGGAGACCCCGGCATGTGGTTGAGGACATGGCAACCCTACCAGCCACCTACCACCAAGATCCCGCCTTGCGGACTGCCCAGGGCTCTCCCAAAGCCAGCTTAAGCAGGGTTTAAATTACCGCAATATACCCGATCACCCAGGTAGGCTCTGCTCCTCTGTAATGGGATCAGATTAAATCGGCCCAGCGCTGGGACACTTCCCGGATGCCAAACGACCTGCTCTCCGGTGACCTTGATAGTTCCTGACATGGCATGCTGAACCCACGGCTCACGCAGTTTGCTCCCATTCCCAGCCAAGTGCCGCGTGCGCTACAGGGCAGAGGCCGCAGTAGCAAAAGCGAGGGAGTGGAGCATGACTGTGCGTATGCACTGTGCAGTGCTGAAGGGACACCGAGCGAGCTCAAGACGAGAAAACATCCTAGGGTAAGCGAGCTCGAAAGGATTGCTAGCTGCGGGAAGGAAGCGGAAATCTCCCAGGATTGTGTTCCGGGGCTCTGGAAAGCTGGCTGCCCCACCTGCTGACTTGCTCGGCGCACTATGTGCATGAGAGGCATGCGGGGAGAGGGCATGCCGTAGCAGCCTCTTTTCTTTCTTCCGCACGTGGACAAACGCGTAAACGTAAAAGTGACACTTGCGACAAGTAATGCCACCTCCTGATATACCAAATTTCGCAGGAGCAGCCTGGTTTCACGATGGACCCAACCAAAAACCCCAACGGCGCGGTCCAAGATGCCGATGATGAATTAGGGTAGCGCCATTCTGGAGTGCGTGCGTGTGGGAAGGTGGGGGGGAAATAGCGGTGTGCAGAAGTAGAAATCCGGTGTCGACATATCTATGTGTCTATCATGTCATGTCATGACGCATGCAATAAATTCCGTGAACGCCGCTATCTAGCCGCAAAGGTGAGCAAAAGGCTCAACTCATTACGCGTAGTTAGCTGACCGCAATGCTGGCCGCTGTCCCTTTTTGCATATATGCGAAAGAACACGCGAAGAAACACGCGGGAATTGTGTAGAGCTTTTTCAATTGAATCTTGCAAGATGCATGATGACCCACACACATCACACTCTGCGTTACCTTTAATTTTGGTATTCTTGTTTAAGCCGCGGTTTCCCCCTAAAAATGCACAATTACACGCATATGTACGTACATATGTACATACCTACATACGTAGGTACATACATACATACATACATACGTACATACGTACATACGTACGTACAGGCCCAGCAGGCCGGCGCCGACAGCCGTGTGTTCCCCGGCGCCCTGACCGGAGTGGGGGTTCAGCCTTGCGCCTCAACGCGCTCAGCGGGGGTTCTCTGGCCGCAGCCATCGGCACTCTGCTCCCTCAGGGTGCCAACATTAAGTACAAGACCTGATCAAAGCTCGCAGACGACGCAGTTGCTGGTGCATGCCAATCCATCAGCTAGTCTATGAGCTAGCATGTTTTGCTGGCTACTGCAGGGGGTTGGGATCGAATATTCGGGTGCCGAAGGAGGAGTAAGAAACCAGGAGGAGTGGGTTTGCTGCTTGGGCTGCAGGGTGCTGTTGCCCTCGCATTCATGGGATCAAGCAGCGTGAGTACCCGCAAGGGGCCAGCCTTATAGGATGCACCAAGCAGAGGGTCAATGAACTACCGGTCGCATCCCAAGGCCCAATTGGGCTCGGGTCGATCTGGAGGCCCCAGACTAAGGATGATGTGTAAGCAGCTAGGGGATCAAGAGAGAGAGAGAGAGAAGGAAAAGGGGAGGGGGGAAGAGTTCTTACCATATGCGGGAGGCGGCGGGGCGATAGTTCACAAGGAAGGGCATGGGGGCGGATGAGGTCTGTATGGCCGGCGCGCGTGTGTTGCGCAGCTAACACTACAGCTGTGGCTGTCTGTGGCCGCATACTGTCGCACGCGTCCATCGAAACGGTTGTAAATATAAACCACGCGGTGCCCTCTGTCGCCTGGGTGTTGACGAGCGCGGCATTACAGCTCCTGTATGGGCTGTGTATGTAGCGCATATGCAGACCGCGGCATGAAGGGGCCCAAATCGCCCGCCAAAGTTGATGGGTGGCCAGAAGCCGTGAGAAACTAAAGGAATCAAGGGCACGGACAGCAGCTTCCATAAAGAATCGTACAATGGCGCTATGGGTAACTTGTCATGAATGTTGTCGCCTAATCTACGTGCTAACGTACAAATGAGTTGCAGTGTGCTGTAGCACCATGACTCAGCACGTTGGAATACGTAGTTGCTAGCTTTTGCTCTGCAGCAGCTGCGTGTGCGAGTTAGCAAGTATCAGTGCAGTGCAAAAGGACTGTGCCTTGTACGTGTTGTAGCGGAGGAAGTGGGGTGCAACACGCATAACGAACGTCGTCTTGGAAAAGATGAAGTAGCAAGCGGATTACATCTAGGCTAAGAGTTATATGAAGGAGTTCAGCTGTTATCCCGCATATGGGATTGCAATATAATTAAGGCGGCTACGGGCTTGCGATGGCAGGCGTTAGGTTTACCAATGCAGAGCACTATGGACCACAGCTGCGGAATATCCATTTGCTTACATATTATATGTTTTACTGTTATTTGATGCATCGTAAGGTCGTCAAGCAGTTGTTAATGCTGTCGTGCAACCAGGGGTGAAAAACGAAGACATCCTTTGGAAAAGGCTGATTGCCTGGGTGGTCCATACGGACCAGAATTTGAATTTTATTCTCCAAAGCATTGGAACACGCTTTCTTGGTGCTGTTGTTCAATCTCCTCGCCGCTTTCCGATGGACGTCCGCTCATAGTACCAACATTCATATGGCATGTAGTTAACATTTTCGAGCTATAGGGAGGTGGAGGTGCAGCCGCCATGTACTCGCGGCCCAGCCGAAACTTTCGCAAGCCAAACGTAGTAATTAGGACAAATGAGCCAGACTATATGGTATTTGAGCTTAAGAATACAGATGTTAGCTCAGCAAACGCGCTGCGGCGCGTTATGATTGCAGAGGTGCCGACAATTGCCATAGATCTCGTCGAAATGGAGAACAACACAACTGTACTAAACGACGAGTTCCTGGCACATCGCCTTGGGTTACTTCCTTTGGTTTCAACGGAGGCTGTGGCGTGGAAACGGCCGTTCGAGTGGAGCAACGACGCGGACATGATTGAAACCGCGTTCTCGCTGGACGTGACGTGCACTGTTGATGGCGTCATGGACGTCACAAGCAATGATTTGGTACCGCTTAACCCGGAGCATGGGGTGTTCCCGGTCAACTACCAGAACCCTGACGAAAAACCCATCGTCATTTGCAAAATGCGTCGGGGCCAGCAACTCAAGCTCGTTGCACGAGCACGCAAGGGGATCGGGAAAGACCACGCCAAGTTTATCCCCGTCGCGACGGCCGTGTTCCAGTACAAGCCCCGCATTGTGCTCTCTCACAGCGCCATGGCAGAGATGACCGACGAGGAGAAGCAGATCTTCGTCCACAGCGACCCATCAAAGACATTCAAATTCAACCCCATTACTCGGATGGTGGGCATTTCAGCAAGGAAAAGGGGAAGGGGGACATAGTCCGGCATTTGACACCGATGGCATGGGCCTCGGGAGGGCTGCGCCGGCCACGGATTTCCAGTTAACAGGCTGCCCTGCACGCAAAGGCGGGTTTAGGGTTTAACCCTTGAATCCATTCAGACCACGGATGCTCAACTACAGAGGCCCCTACAAGGTCCATTGGGGGGGGTTGACAGGCCGCGTTGCTAGCAATGTTGACCAGCCCGAGTGCCGTATGCTTGGTTGCACTGGCAAAGAAGTCTCGTGTCCCCCTGCTCCTTTTTGAGTCGGGCGACCACTCTTGCAAAACGAGCGCGCGCGCTTCTACAGTACAGAGTACTGCTGCCGAGCCGCCGCCGCCCGCATTTCCCGCCTCACCTCTCTCCAGCGGGTTATCACTCCCCAGGTCCCCCCGTGTGGGAGCTTTTCCTTCCCCCGGGCCCTGTACCCTCCCCTTCCCTCCCCCTCGTCCCACACGTCTTAGCCATCGCGTAGACCTCCCCAGCATGCCCTCCTGTGCGAATGACAAACTCCTGCCCTTCGGCCTCTTTCTCCCCACTTCTCTCACCCACGTAGATTGAGGTGGAGAACGAGGAGGCCTATATGTACGACGAGGAGTGCTTGGTTAAGGCGCGGGAGCTGGGTCGGCCGGACCTGGTCACGATTACGCAGCTACAAGTGCGTCCGGGGGCCTTTTTTGGAGCACTGTTGTGTTATGCTGTATGGGCGACTAGGGCCTAGCTGTTTGACCGTTGTGCCCATATGCTATTCCCCCCGAGTTCTCCGCCTCTCGCTCTTTGCATGGGAGGTCGTGACCCGGGAGATGCGCGGTGCATGAAAACGCGACGGAAAATGTTCCGGCAAAGAGTGAGGCAAGGCACGTTGCGAGAAAGGAAGGTTCTTTGAGGACCCGCGTTATCGCAGGATGCACGTTGACCGGCGTCATGGTGGCTGTTGCAGCAGCCGCCACTGCAGTCCGCTGTCGCCGCAGCCGCAGAGTGTTGTTGCATACCTTGTTCGAGTTAAGGTTTTTTTTACATATTTTACCCTTTTTGTATCGTATTACGGTCGATATACCATTTAGAATGTTTCTAGCATGCATGCACCTCCAACCCTTACCCGCAAGGCAATGCATCTGTACCTGCATGTGCACGGGGTCCACATGTACGGATGTACGACCACCTCGCCCCGTGTCAACAGGACCATTTCATCTTCAGGGTGGAGGGCACGGGAGTGTTACGAGTCGCAGACATTGTACGACAGGTAACTTATGAACAAGGGAGGAAGTCAGGGGGGTCAAGAGGGGTAGGGCACCGGAAATGCGGAGGCGGCTGATGGGAGCCGTTGATGGGAGCGGCGCTATCATTGTTGGTTGTGGTGCGGCGGCAGCATGACAAAAATATTGTGGTTTATAAGCGCCGGTCCGTCTAGTGAGGACCGGAGAGAAGGACTTTTCTTCCCGTGCAGTTCAGTGCTGTCCACGGGCATCACCTCCATAGCCATTAGCAGCAACATCAGTAGCAGCGGCAGCAGTAGAAGCGCCACCATCGCAAAATTAATGGCTGCAAAATGTAGGCGCTGTGTGTCGGGTATAATAAATAGCACCTTGGAGAGGGGGTCCAAGGGGCGCCCTAAAGCCGTGTGGGAGGCCTGGCCAGAGGCTCACCTATGCCCCCACCTTGCACGTGGGGACCGACTGCGGACCTTGTGCGGGCGCGCGCGCAGGGTTGCTGCAACAAGAAACACCGAACCTCTTCATTCCCCGGCCCCCTCTCCCTCTCTGTTGAGGTCAAACAAATTCAGTACGGTAGCTGTGTGCTTTCCGCCCACCCATTCTCCCCTTGCCCGAACCTGATTGCCCGATTGCTAAAGGGGATTGAGATTCTGCACAAGAAGTGCTTGGACCTGGAGGTCGGAGTGCAGGAGGCGGTTGCCGTCGCGAAGGGCCAGCCGCTGCCCTCAGCACCCGGCGGCGGTGGCGTGGAAATGGGGATGGGCATGGGAGGTCCCGGGCCTGACGACGGCATGGGGATGGGGATGGGTGGAGGGATGGGCCCCGGCGGCGGGGGCATGAATCTGGGGGGCCCTCTGGGGGGTTCGACGTGGTGAAGCGGAAGAGCGGAAACAGAGGGACGGGAAGCCCCTGACGCCCGACAGGGGGTGCGGCGTCTACTGGGATCCGCAGGCGGTGGGATGAGGTACAGGATTTCGTTGGTGGTTGGGGTGGTTATGGTTGGGTGATTTTTTCCCGGACTATGTGGCCGTAAACCCGCAATCCGCACCATCTTCTGTTTGTTGAGGGCCTTACGGGGCGTATCGCCTGTGTGCATGAGGCTTGCGATGGCTTTGGCTGGCCCTGTGGAGTGGGGGGGCGAACTGACAATAATAAGCATCGGGGTTAGGGTTGAGGTGTGCATGTATGTGTGTGGTCAACACTGACACTGCTAGGGTGAAAGAGGCCCAACTAGACACTTCGAGACAGCGCAAGGAAGGTCGCGGACAATGAACGGCTTGCAACAGCCAAGGTGTCCACCAACTTTCCAACTGCGGGTGGCAAGGACGGGCGGGCGGGGGGGACCAGAGGAGGGGAAACTACCAGGCCCCCAGTGCAGCTCTCGCCGGTAGGGACGGGTTGGGAGGGAACCCGTGGCGGGAAGCCATTGCTGCTGTTGGCGAATCTCGTCGCTGTTTTCTGCTGCTGCTGCTGGTGCTGCTCCTGGGTTATACAATGCTGCTGTTGTTACATCGGTGGCAGCAGCAGCGGCAACGGGTGGATATGGGAGATAGTGAGCGCAGAGTGAAAGCAGCAGCAGATGATGATGATGGTGGTGACGATGATGACGTTCCGGCGACGCTCTGTCTTACCCCCGCGGGATTCAACCCACCCACCTCTACTACCTCCTCACCTCACCTCGTCATCCGAACTGTCCGTAGATGACACAACACCGATTGGGGAGCTCGCCCTGAAGAAACCTGCCCATCAGAGCTGTCTCCCATGGGCTTTGCCGTCCTAAACGGCTGACTGAAAGCTAGCACTGTTGGATTTAAAGACTATCCCTGCAACGCCTGCGTGAAATGGAAGTGTGGATGGCTGGAGGTGCCTGATTGTGAGCTCCACAAACAGGGCATGAACGCGGGCTTCGCCGCCCTCTTCCCCGAGGCAACTGCCTTGCGGAGCCTGGCCGTCTTTCTCCGGCCGCATGTGTGACATTCGTCGCTAAACCTGTCTTGCATGATTACGCCGCCCATTGCCTGCTGTTACCTACCTTGCACAGACGTACGAACGGTACGATAATAAATCAATGCTGCTTCAACAGATTGTCGGTGCAAAAGTACGATGATATATGTACAGTATTCGAGTAAATGGCATTACAGTGCTCTGACTGAATCACCGGTTTTGGACATAGCCGAAACACTGAAGGGGACAGCCCCACATAGCTCCGGTTGACAATTCTGATGATCACCGGCCGCTCCCATCTCCACACCACGGTCCGGTATCCTCTCATTCATAAACCTTACACTCAGGACATTCCGTACGCCCTTTTTCCGCACGGTACATGTACGGACAACATTAGACACCAATACGTCGATGTTAAAAGCCGCATGGGCTGTGCCACCCTGATCGCCTCCCCCGGAGGACCTCTGTGATAGGAGGCGACGGAGGTGGCCCTCCAACAGCCCACGCCGCTGCCTCGCGGCGGGGGTAGTCTATCCACCAACACCGCCAGCGCCGCCGCCGCACGTCCATGCGACACTGTTACCCTTTGCATCTCCCCGTAGCGCAGCTGTACGGCGTGCAGGTGGTGTTGGTTAGGAGGTGGACAACTCTAGCTGGTAGCACCCAAATGCAATGAAGACGAAAAGAGCTGAAATCCCGCCGGCTGGGGTGGGGTCAGGGGTTGGGGAGGGGGGTGCAACCTCCTCCGAAAAGGACTACAACCATCCGACTCATCACTGGAAAACACGTAATCGTAAATGTTGGAAATCGTGTGTGGACGGGGCATGTACGGTAGGTGTACGGCATGCAGTACGAAACCCTGGTATGACAGCTGCGAAACCGAGAGCCCTCAAGGCAAGGGTAAGGGCCTGGGCGCTATCCGTGCCCGGTCTTATTGCACCGGTCACACCACACGCCACTCATCTTGGGAAATGCTGAGGTCGTTTGTATGAGGTGTACGGCAGGGGCGTCAATGGCACAAAGGATTACGTCCTTACGTCTCCCTTGTACATACACACAACAGACGCACGCCGCACACGCCCGCAGCCGCCACGGCTGACTGCAGTTTTGGCAAAAAGCGCATCCACCCCTTTGCAAACCATTAAACCAAAACCGCCGTACATTGCGTATAGATTAAAAGAATTCTAAAGCTCCCGCGGAGGGAACAGACATGCCCAAGAGTTGTCAACCACACGCAGATAGTACGGCATTACAGGTGTACTACTGGCGCCGTACATACGCACGCACACACACACACACATGATAGCATGGAAGCACCATGACAACAAGTTGCGGAATCAGGCATCGCCGCCGCCGGGCTGAAAGCTCGATTACCACGCGTCGCATTACCCTCAGACCTTCGTGCTTCGCAAGAGTGAGCCACTAGGGATATGCGTGCGACCTGAAATGTAGAGCGTCATACGCTGTGTTTCCCGTCAAAAAAACACATCTTTCAGCAGGGAAAAAAGGAAGGCAATATTTAACGTTCGTAAGAGAGCTAGGTATACGTCTGTGTTCATGTGCATGGACGCCAATCCGGCACCGTACAACTTCCGTACATATGCCGTCCAGTACCAGCAGCCGTCTGCGCTGGTGCAACGTTCCGCTGTGCGCTGTTTCCAGAGCTCCGCCTCCAAGGCCGGGACTTCAACCAAGTTAAAAACATGCATAATTCGTAAAGGTTGTCACAGCCCTCGGAGACCAACCTCATCACTTAAAAAAGGAAAATAAACCTCCCCAGAAGAACCCTTATCAGGGGCAGGGGCAGCTGAGGGCAACCGGCCCGCCAGCGGCCCCACAGCGCCCGGGTCCTGTAACAGCCCCTCAGGTGGGTGGGGACGCGGGAGGCCATCATAAAGCCCGGGGTAACCGGGCACAGCGGCTCCCTCCTGTCAAAACGGCCCCGCGAGCAAGAACCCACAGCTCTCCACCCCCATCCCCCGCTCCCGCACCCACCCTGACACCCACACTCCCAAAACATTTCATTGAAGCTCCCAATCCAAATCCAATCCAATCCAAATCCAAATCCAAATCCAATCCAATCCAATCCAATCCATTCCATTGTAGCCGAGAAAGAGGAAAGGGACAAACCGCAAATAGATAACACTGTGGTGCACTTCGGGTTTACGTGAGAATGACGTACGAGTACGAATACGTACCAGCGCACGTCAACCAACAACGGCCCTCCCCCCCCCCGAACCCCAATACAAGATGGATTATCCTAAACCCTGAATACTGAAAGGCAAAGGGGGGGAGGGGGTAAAAGCCGCGAGCTGTCCGCTCCCACAGCAAGACGGATGGAACGCCCCCCCCCCCCAGCCGTTTGTTCAAATCCATCGGAACTCTAGTAGGCAAGGTAAAACCCGCCGGCCTCACGCACACGGGGATTGGGAAGCACAAACACAAACACCGCAACCAGGCGGCGGACCACATCCTCAAACTCCACGGTCTTCACGCCGCCGCGAACCCGTGAGGCCCGTGATGCCCGTCTTCCGCCGCCGTGCTATAGCTTCTGCTGGGCTCTGATTGTTCCCAATCGGACGGAAAGTCTTTAGCCTTTTTGAAATTCCTTTTTCCCCGGCATTACTTTCCCCCAGACGACGAGAGATTCGGAAACATGTGCGACGTGCGCTCAACGCGCCCAAGGGACCCTCTAGCCCCCACCCCCCACACCGCCAGGCCCCTCTTTCCTCCTCCTCCCCCCTCCCCGCACCGCCGCACGCATACCGACACACCACCCAGTGTGCGAAACAGAACGCGGACGGCGTTCACAAGGCCCCTTCCCCCCATTAATTACTTCGCAGCGTGATGTTTTCATTACGACTACTTGCTGCATGGTATTTCATTTATCCTCACGTTGTACGACAGTATACGGCAAACAGCGGGAGACGGAAAAATGGCTCGCCCGTGTTTCACATTATCAGGCCCCCAATGGCGCAAGTTGGCACTGGACAAGAGTCCGGATGAAGAAAGGGCCGCTTGGGGGATTTCCCCCGTCCCTAACATTTCAAGGGCGGCTGCGCCCCCAAAAGGTACGATAATGCCGTACCAAAAATTCCGACGTACAACTGCTCGAAATCGTACGGTACGCGTGAAAGAAGGCATTTTGCGATCGCCCAAAGTAATGCTTGGGCGGGCAATTCGGTTGCGTTGCGACGGTTGCGCCGTAGTCTTGGTACGGCAGCTAAGAGATGGTCGTGGTTGATAAATGGTCTTCGAATGTCGCATGATGTACGATGTTCTTTCCGCCGTACATTCTATGATACGTGACACATGCTCAAATTCAGTTAAAATGACAGGCGACGTAAACAGTTCCGCGCACATGCACGTCATGGACAGATCACACAAAACACAAAACGCAATATGTAGTCCGGCTGCTATTCTTTCAGCAGACGTATGGGATAACGCTGTACAGCAACAATGACTAAGGTTGCATGGGGTTTCGGTGCCGCTGCCACGGAAATGCCACTGCGGGATGTGGTAAAGAAGAAGAAGATGATGATGATGATGATGATGATGATGATGATGATGATGATGATGATGATGATGATGAACGTGGTGGACGCAAAGATTGTGAAGTTGGCAATGGTGATGAAGGTGATGAAGTTGGCAATGGCGATGGGGTGTGGCGGAGATGAGGACGCGGGTGGTCCCCCGGCGGGAGGGAGCTCCCTCTTCAGGGCCACCGGTGGCAACCGCGCATCCATTCCATCCTAAGACATACCCGCGCATATCCTCCGGGGGTGCTGCCGGGCTCAAGGTGAGTAAAACCAGTAGGCAGCAAC